TGGTCTCGGGTTAGGTGGTCTTGAACACAACACTGCCTCCTGGGTAATAACCATTGCCAGGAAGGGCAGGCACTAAAAAAACTGGCAGTAATTAGTTCTAGCATGTACAGATGGAAAAATATACATCACATTTCCCTGCTGAAAGCAGTGAGGAACGTTTTGCTTATTTGTATTATGAGCCCATGTCTTTTTGTGTGAAATACGTTTGCATTTGTGTTGCAGTTTTCAGACGCATTTGATGGAAGCTGCTCCACCAAACTCTGTCCAAGAGTTGAGGGATTGTTACAGTGAAAACTTGACTCCATGTGTCGGCTGCCATTTCTTGATTAAATATTTTGTATGTTGAAATGATTTTGCATTTGGGTTTACCAACTCTGGACGAAGTAAGGGAACTAAAAAGGAATGGGTGAGAGCCATCTTCAATAGAAATTATTCTAAATACATTTCAGGGGAAACTTCTACTAGAGGTGCCATTTCCTCAAGTACAGGTTGCTTAGCAGCTACCAGCTCTTATGTTTTCCAAGGGTGGGCGGTGACAGAAGCAGCTCTTAAAGTCAAATTAGTAAAAAGTTAAATCAGTGATGGAGATAGTAGCTTGAGATGACAAACTATTATTATCTTAGCTAAGGTAGCCAAGGTAGCTATTAACGTCCAAGTAAAATGTTTCTGACACCATCTACTTCAAGACTGCTTTAACACAGTGAAAGTGAATTACTCAACAAAATCATCTGTCCTCCATTTCCACACACTTTATTGGGAGAATGGAATGCTGAAAAATGAATAATTTGATGCAACTGGCTGCATTTGCTTTAATAAATAACATGTAATTAACTGTTAATATAAATTGCCTGGACTATAATAAATGGAAACTTAACTGAATTTGAATCTATTCCTGTATTTGAATTATACTGAATTTGTTTCTCCTGGATATAAACTGGATCAGTTTGTTTTTTGTGTCATCAAAAGTCGTTTTCTGTGGAGAGGTGTTAAAAAATAAACTGAATTCAATACTTGTTGCTTTCTTTTTACCAGACTTTTTGCTTCCACTTACCCTCCTGTTAACAACCCCTCCAACGAGTCTTTTTTAAGGACTTGGTTAAAATGACTGTTAGCAATCTTCTGTGTAATTATGTAGGTCACAACATTTCTGAATCTAAACTTTTTTTAGTCAATCTTACGCTACACTTTCCTAAGGTGAAATTTTGAATGTGGGTGAACTTCATAAAAGAAATAAATTCTTGAGGTATATCACCAAGTGCAATTTGTCCACATTATGACTTAGTTTCACATTTAAACTGAAACACGAACATAAACAAAATTCGACGATATTGTAATTTAATGGGATGCACCTGTATGTTAAATATATCCGCTCGTTTTGAAAGACTATCGACAGTAAAATGCACCTAAAACATATTTGAACAAGTAGCCGTTTTCCTATGGGTAGCAGTAAAATTGCTGCGACGACCCTGCAAACGGATTTGACAGACAGTTGGTGAAGAAAGTGCAGACTTAAGTCTCCAAAGTATTGTGTCCTCCTCCGCCCACTACTTTTCTTTCTTGTCGGTATCATGCACTCCTTTCCTTTGGTAACACAAACACACAAAACAACAACCAAATACCACAGAGAGCAAGAAAACTACTAGCCAAAACTTTGGATTAAAAAAAATAAAATAAAATAAAATAAATCAAAGAAAAACTTGCTCGAAAGTTGCTCGCCTGAGTCACCACCACACTGCGACATATTCAACAAATAAAACGAAGCAGCTGAGTGCGAGCTCATACATTTTTTTAGGTCCAACCAAACAGTCGACAAGAGTCTTGAAAACCTTTTGGGAACAGACCGAGAGTGAGAAACTTACATGTAGCGGCAGCAGAAGTAGCGGTGAAGGCCACGGGTTTTTTTTACTTCGTCTCTTTGTGAAACCTCTGCGCTGATGGTATTATGATGCAGAGCAGAGGCTCCGCCCAACTGGGAGGGGAGGTTATTTATTATCAGTGCGGTTATCGGTGCTCCTTGGGGTTCTTCCCCCACTCCAAATATGGTACAGTATGTTTCACAACACACCTTATTTTCCTCACTCCGTCTTTTTATTTCGCTTACTCCTTATGCTGAGTGAGTAGGAGTTAGAGCTTCCGTAAAAAGATTGTGCAGTTTATGTGAGATGTAGTCACAGTGCTAACCCTAGACCAGGGTGTAAACACACTAAAAACTGACAAATTGTGGGAGCAAAACTACAGTTGGGAACAGCAAATCAAATTTCACAACTTATTTTGATGTTTGTTGTTCTTGTCACTTTTGATACTCCGCAACCTCTAGAGGTTGAAGATCTGTTTCATAATTTAGGTTTTTCTCAGAATGTAGATTCTGGTGTATAACGCGCAGTGACAGTTTCTGACATGAGTGACGTGGGCAACCGCCCAGGGCGGTAATTTTTGGGGGGGCAGCATGCCAAAGCAATTCCCAAGTACAAATTGCATTATGTGAAAGTACAACCTGTCCACAACTACACAGAAGGGTTCACCCAGATATGAGAGGCCCCAAGGGCCAAAACCTACAAACTCTCTTACACGTACTATCAAACTCTCTTACACGTACTATCAAACAGGCTAGGACCAGAATCTGAGAGCTTTTGTGAAACTCAACCTCTCTGTGTAGATTTTGACAGGTTTATTGTAATATAAGAGTGGTCTGCTTCTTGATACTGCAAAGCACTGTAAAATCTTGGCGTTATTGGGAAAGATCAAATCAGATTCTCCTTAAAATGTCTTAATCTTTTCTTGCTTCTAGGATATGCATATAAAACACAGAAAGCTCTCAAAACATTTTCTTCCACTATGTTGTCCATAGCAACTGGCAATTGGTATTTTACAGCATTAAATCATAAACAAATGCTGGCTATCCCTGTCATCACCACCCCCCTCCTCCCCCCAGCCGAGGACGTTATTTTATATTCAAAATAAGTTCATATTACAAATGTAGGAGAAATTTTTGACATGTTGAAGACTTTTTCTCAGCTCTGTTGTTGAATTAAAAGTCATTTCATACTCTGTTCTCATATTCCACCAGTTTCACACACGATTGTTTTTCCACTTGAATCAGAGTCAAACCAAGTAGATTCTTATCTCGTCCACAAAGTGTCTAATTTCACAGATGAGAGCTTTGTGTAATACTTAAGTGGATGGGAAATCATCTTCTGTCAGGCCTTTAATAAAGTATTTTAAGGTTGCGTCTCACACAAGAGGAGAAGTAAAGGATCTTCTCTATAATCTCAAAGAAAGTATTTTGAAGATAACTGGGCCACAAGGAGGAGTCAGAGAGCAATGCACATTACATAATATCACATAATCCCACATTATGTTATGGGAAAGCAGTTGAATATGTTATAGACTGTTGCATAAGAGACTGCTAGCATAATAGTCTATGCAAAAGTAAGCTTTAAATCAGAGCCATTCTGAGGAGAATAAGTACTAAACAAACAAGCAAACAAAATAATTTGAACTCACTGACCATTTTATTAGGAACATCTATTCAGTTACTTCTCAAAACTGAATGAATAAACCAAAAACATCCCAGCAACTTAATACATTTAGGCATCTGGAGGTTGTAAACATGGCTTGCTAAAGTTCAGGCTGAGTATTAAAATGAAGAACACTTTTGAGTCACTTTAAATGTGGTAATGTTTTTTTTATGACACTATTGACCTTTTTTGAACAGTAAATGAACAGGAAATAGGGAGAAGAAAGAAGGGAAAGACATGCAGCAAATGACCCGAGAACAGAACCAATGACAATCAATGGAGGATCACAACAACCACATGGTACCAACTGGGCCTCTTAGCACCCCAAGCATGGGGGTTGGTCCTGAACCAGTCAGAGTATTTTAGGAGCTGCTGATCTTCTGGGATTTTCAAAAATAATCTGTTGTTGGGTTTACAGAGAACAGTTTAAGTAAGCAATTGTGCAGGTAAAAAAAAGAAAAGCATTGCTTTGCAAAAATGTTTGTCAGAGATAAGAGGACATTGTTTTAGACTGAGCATTTGCCTAAATAACCACTTGGTAAAACCAAAGAAATCCAGTCCTTAGAAACTGACTGCACATTGCATGTTAAAACTTTTTTGTTAAAGCAGAGTGAAAATATCTTCAGCTAAGAACAAGTAACAGAGAATAGAAATCACACAGGTTGAGCAAAATTGGACAATGATAGAACAGAAAAATGTTGTCTGGCATAAGTAATAAGTTACTTATTAAGTAACTTCTTAATAAGTTACTTATTAAGAAGTTGATAAGTAACTTTTTAGCAAGTTACTGATTAAGAAATAAGTAAATTCCTTACTTTTTTCTTAAGTAAGGAAGTTACTTAAGAAATAAGTAACTTCCTGGATATTATTGCATCCAGCAGTCCTTGTGCAGTCTTGTCCTATTGATTTGGCTGATTGGTGGTGAGCTCCATTCCTTCCATTACTTCATGGCATTTCAAATCAAACATTTACCACAATGTTAGGATATCATGCAGCAAACCCACTTGTTTGGCATCAGGACATGAAGATATTTATAGTCACCACCACTAGTATTTCCTCTTACATATCCTGCTTCTTATTTTTGGGTTTAGATGCTGCCTATATTCTTGCAACTATAAATAATCCATCTTTTTATCAAGGTAACGAACATGATTGGGAAGAAGACAGACGGAGTAGTTGGGTGCCTGTTTTATTAGTCTTTGGTTATCACAATGGGTCTTTTATTTATTTATTTATTTATTTTTTTACTTTTTTATGAGTTTCCAATAATGTTTTAAAGCTGAAACATCTTGTTCTGAGATGAAAATATAAAGTCTCAGATATTTCAGGCCCATATTTATCTGCTGTGCTTTAGCTCTGTCTTTAAAAAGGATTCTCTGCAGGAAAATCATTCATGTTAAGTTTTTTATCTCTGACTTGTCAATCTCCTGCTACTGCCAAGGCTTAAATTTTGCTATTAGTGACTTTATTTTGTTTTTGCACCTGAGTAACGTCTTGGGGTATCTTCCTGCTCTTACTCAAGGTCAAATTCACCTGAATAATTCTGTCTTCTGAGTCTGTAAAACTTTGCATATTTTGGAGACAGGCAGATCAAATCAAGTCAAAGTTTAATTTAGAGAAATTTACAAACATTAAGACAAATTAGGCTCTTTAACTATGAATAACTGTTCACATAGTTTTTCATGCTAATCTTTACTGAAAAACAAAGGATGTGCAAATGTCTGTTATGTTTCACAGCAGTTTTATTTTTAGCCATATGTTTGTTATCAGCAAGATAACTAACATGCGTTTGCCAATGAAAGCTACCTTTGACAATATTGACATAAGTGCACATTTTTTACTCGCATTTCTAATATACACCCAACACCTTTTGCCATTGTCCTTAAATGTGAAATCAGAAAATCTGAAACACTTCAAAATAATAAAGGCATATGTGAGGAAATAATGAGGTTAGGCGATTTCTTCAGTGCACTAGAAAAGAAATCACTTGTTCTGTTTCAGCCTGGAGGAGCGGATTTACCGTTTATCTATACTGATAAGAGTTTTGAAGTCAGACAGACTGCACTCAATGTCTCAGCAGGCATCAGACAGATTGGCAGCTTGTTCTTCATCTCGTCACTTTTCTACAGAGCATCCATGCTGAGCTCCAGGTACAAAGGGCGTCTCAGAGTTGATGTGATTGAAACTTCTGGATAACATCATGCTACACAGAGTTGAGAAGGACAGGTTCAACCTTAATGGATTTGCTTGAGACAAAGATGACCCAAGGCACTCGCCCTTTGCTTGTTTGTCTGAATAAAATACATACATATTGTATTTTAACATATTTGTAACTTTCTGAACTGATGGACTTTTAACCTGTCCAGGGACTAATGTGCAACCGTTTGCCTTGAAAACAGATAACTGATGCAAGAAAAGTTTATTTTTTTAAAATTTGAATAAGAGAAAAACATGCTAAATGTTACTGTCAGAAATGATTGTTAGTCGCAGTGCTGTATTTAAGGCATTTATGAATCTGATAAAAAGATTATCCTAATGATCATTGTTCACAATGCTGTAGCATGTACATATATGATTGATGTGTTTGCAACATAGCACCACACAGTTTTACATAATGAATGGTACAACAGCAATAAGTCAGTCATATTTCTTAAAATGCAAACAGATTCCATCTCATTCAGCAAAAACTTTAGTGATACAAAAATATAAAAGTAAAATATAACTGGTAAAAAAATCAAATAAACCAAAAGAAAACCTGAAGTGGCTTTATCCTACATCTCTTTGCCTGTAACACAATGTCAGATGTCCTACAAGAGTCATTGGTTGCATGAAAATATGCATAAAGTATGGGTTACAAGATTACTTTTTCTTTGAAGTCTTGAATATTTTTGAGAAAAAAAAACAAAATACAATCCTGTGATAAAAGCAGCAGAGAGGAATATGCAGTAGAGTACAGAACGAGCAGACAAAGTTAAGAGACCTTGATGTTAGTATTCAATGAAAACAGTCCACCTATCATAGTGCAAAGAGATCTTAGGCTGACTAGATATTTCACACAATTTTCACTAGAACATATAAGAAGTCTCAGTTTTTAGTAAATTCCATGTTAAATGTGACTCAGATCACTGAGGTTTATGACTTCCTGAAGAACATAAGCCAACCAGCAAAACTAGATCTGTACATCTGTATTCACAGAAACATGGTACTTTTTCTCATGATCATGTATAAATGCACTTGAGAGTAAAATTACATTGTAAATGCAATGGCTATTATAAAAACAAAAACATTCATGTTACATACATGAGGTATAACTGTAAAGTCATGATATGAGGATGGAATTCATTGACATGTGGGTCAAGTAAAACGAATAAAAATGCTGGTCAGCCCAAGCACCCAGATTAAAAAAAAGGAGAAGATTTAAAAGACAGAGACTTACCTTTGGGTATTAGCAATATATTTTTTTTTTTTCATAGAATTGTATTGTATTGTAAAACATCATAATAAAAAGATAAATAAAGCTTCTGCCCAACACCTTGCAATGTTATGAATGTTACTGGAAACCACTGGTTGTCTTCAAACACAACCAGTTGGAAAACAAATATTGTAGATTTAAAATGTAGTAAGGGAGATGACTGTTGAAAGAAAATGGAAGTACACGTTTGAATTCAAATTTTTGTCTACAAGATGACGCAGCAGCAGGTTTCTGGATAGTCGTCAGCGCTGACCTTGTTTTCCTTTCCATAAACATAGAAAACGTGAATGTTATTTTTCCACTTGTAGTTCACCTTAGTAACCGGGATCAACTCAACAGTCTGCCTCTGAAAGAAACAGATACGGAGTTATTTTATTGTAAAAGACGAAAACACCTTACAAAATACCCAATAAATTAAAAAAGCTTGAAGATTTAACACTTCAGGTGGTTTTATTTAGATTAGAGCCTAAAATATTTTTTTTGCTTGCAGTGCTCAGTCTGTTTTTTTTTTTTTATAATGCAAGTTAGGCATTTACTCATGTTTATTCTAACAAACCTGCTGCATGATCCTGGACGTCTGAGCATACTTGGATTGATGCTCTTTGATCAGACGGTCAGAGGCCTCAACAATGGCTGGATTTGGGAATCCATACAGTGGGTAGACCTGTGAGGAAACGCATGGAGCTGAAAACCTGAGCACCATCTTTCAATCAGCCACTACTTTCCCTTATGGCTCTTCTGAAAGACGATAATTAGACTGTAGCTCAGCTATTTTTGTCTGAGGTTAAAAATGTTTCATTTCTTTATTACATGAATTTATATACCAAACATCCTAAATTATGCTTTAATTAATAAACATTTTTCAAGAATCCTGTTTAATCTGCAACAGATATGAATACAGTATGTCAGAAATTTAATATTTGTATTACAAATCAGCCAAACATCATAATGTTCGTCACAGGTGCTCATTCACTACGGTTGACTGTTTTCTCCCATTTTAATTTCCTCATCGTTTCATTAGAAACGATTCCTTGTTTTATCTATTTACTTGATTTGATCATTTCTACTGAATCAAAACAAATTGATATCTTTACGTTTTTATACCTAAATTACTTTCATCCACTTGAAAAAAAGTATGTATTAAGAATGTGTGAGTGTGTGTGTGTGTGTCTACCATGATCTGGGCCATCTTGAACAGCTCCTTTCCATTCACAGAGTTCAACTCTTCAGCCTTCAGGCCAGAGTTTTGCTCCACCACATGGTTGTCCACATTGTTAGCCCTAAACAGAAATAAGCAAGTTCGACTCATGAAGCTGGCTGTTCAAACGTCACACATACCCTCTATTCTACTTAAGCCCCAGGAAAATATGCACAATATTTCCTACAGTGTATAATATGCAAAATGCGTGAATCTGACTATTTTTAGCAGGAGTGTTAATCTCCTAAACAGCAGTGTCCTGGAGGTTTTAGATGTCTCTGGTCTGATTCTGACTTCCCAGTCGGAAAAATCAACTGAAAAGTCGGATTTTTCACTGGAAAACTCTGACATACCCCAGTTACCACTTGAAAGACCAACTTCTCATTGCAATATGGTCACTCCTCACATCAGCGGTAATAAGATGTGGTGGAAACATGTTGATTTTACGTCCCAGGTGCAAGCAAACACCTTCACATATTCAAAGATGTGAAAGTAAAACTACTGCGGGGTTTGTTTTATGTGTGATACAACATTCTCAATAGTACTCAGACTAAAAACAATAATAATAATAAAAGAATCTTTTTGAAAAGTTATACTTTCTTGGGAATCGAAACAACACTGTCTTTACTTACTTTTTCCATGTAAGTAAACACATTGACAAACTGATATTGAAAGAACAAAAAGTTTAAGTTCTGCTACAGTTTCTGCAAGAACATTGTGAATTATTAGGTAGTTTATTTAGAAAGCAAAATAGGGAATTGAAACATAGTCCCACTCATTTCCTTTGTATATGAGAATAGCATCATTTTATGTCAGGTAGTGGTTAAGACAGCTGAATCTTTAAAATATAGAAACAAAAGGGAATGGATTTAATGTCGCCTAGATCCACTATATAACCCTGTAAATCTTTTCCTGTTACAGCTGCAGCAGTTTAGGAAACTTACCACTCCACTTTGAGTTTGATGAAGGTCAGCAATTGCTTTTTTCCTTTACAGGTTTCACATTTAATTTTTCCCGCACCACTGCACTTTGAACACCTTCACACACACACACACACACAAAAAAAAAAAATCCAGTCAGAAGCATAACACACTAAACATATTAATTGGTGATTATATTGGTAAATTTCAGGCCCATAATTGTTTTGATACAAGATAAAATAAATAGAATCTGTTAAACTCATTTACCACAACATATTCTCTCTTGTACCCCTTGATCATTAAAAAGGCATATTTCCTATATTTCATATTTACTTTCTTTTTTACAATAAACTTTTACATCTACTGCATACTTCAAAATAAATTGGAAACAAAGATTTACACTTTAAAGTATGATATATTTATGTGAAGTGTGCAATGGAAAACAAATAAAATTGAGTCCTTATTATTTATGCCTTTATAATTCCAAAAAGGCAGATTATTACAAACATAAAATATGATCAGAATGATTTTTAATTAAAAAAAAGAGGAATGTTTAAGGCATTTGCAAGTCTAATGTTTCAGTTAAAATGTAACAATGAAGGCATTTACTTTTACAGTCTTTATGAGTCAAATGACACATTAGTTGACTCAATTGCATATTTGCTACCAATGCGTTTGCCACGTTCATATCAACAAGCCACACTGAGCTCGATTACCTGTCCTTTCCTGTTCCATTGCAGCCAGTGCAGTTTTCCTCCCCATCCTTGCCAGAGCCATTGCATCTATTGCATTGTTTCTAAAGGGAACATATGAACAAATATTCGCTGGTAATACAGTAAGGACTGACCAAATTACTTAGCCAGCAAATCAATTGATTTTACAAATGCAAAATGTTATTACAGATTTATATGGAAATTTGAAAGATTTCTTACATATCCTTTTGCCTCGCAGTCTTTGCAGGACACTGTTCCTTCAGCATGGCAGGCGTTACATTCCTACACACAAACAGGAGTTCAAGAATCGCCTCACTACCTTTTAGAAGCACACAGAATCTCAGAACACTAGTCATAATTTAAAGTTCTGACAAAAAGCAAGTGGCCTTTTTGTTTACACTGTTCAGCTTGTCAGATTTGGCAAAAGCACATTTATTTAGATGAAATATGATGGATAAATTAGATAAATATATACCTTTAGTAAAATGTGAACAAAACAATTTTTCTTTCTGGGTGAGGGGAGTTTTACACGCTTTTTACATCATTTTATCATTTCCTGAGAAATGCCTGCTTTTCATTTCTGTAATAAACTTCTTGATTGGCTGAAAATTAATTTTTCATCTAGAACTGCCAGGAGTATGAATCGCAAGAGCTTACCTGTACTTTTTAAAACATGCATAACCTCTCTGATGAGGCATTAAATTGCCTTTTAATTCAATCAGTCAAAAAATACCTATCAATATTATTTGGCCCATGGGACTTTTAAGACAAAACAAACATTTGGTCCAGTGATTTCTCAACTCTTTGGCTTCTGATACATTTCAAATAATACCTCAAAAACTTCCTGAGTAACTTCCTTACAGAATATATTTGGGCTGAATAATAAAAAAAGAAAAGAAAACCATAGTGCTAAATTATATTTCAGAAAGAATCAATAGTAGTAATTGACGAAGAAGTCTTTCATAAGTCCTTTATAAGGGTTAAGACTTTTTTATGGCTATGCTTTGGTTCTGAATTGTCAATTGAAAGATTATAAGTCCAATTTGAGGAAAACTTCAGTGGTTTTAAAGTGTTTATTGCACGTAAAACCACTTGGACGTTTGTACAGCAGGACCCTAATTCACTGAAAACAAGACAAACATTTCCAGTCTTTCTGAATGGAATCATGATGCTGCTCAAAAAATGGGACAGCCAACCTTAAGACAGGAGGCAAAAACTTGAACATGGATTATCAAGCTTTCCTTGAAGCTGTGTAGCTTATCTTACAGAAATCTTACATGTGTCAACACTTTTTCCAGAAAGCTGGAGTCTACAAAGCCATGTGAACCACTGTCCTCCAGCTACGTCCTGTGACCCATCTTGACATCAGCTGATTTGTTTCCAGGAAAGATGTTTAACAATTTTGCAGAGTTTGAGTTATTCTTATCATTTCTAACTTCAAAACCATAATGCTGCACAGTAAATTGGCAAATGAATCAGAGCAATGAATTAATGGGTCCCAAAAGTAGAATCTGGGATAAAGTAAAGAAATCAACAAAGCAGCAGGATAAACTGGCTGACTTGAATTCATGCCCTTTAAAAAACAATCACCTTGATGTTGGAGGTGTATGGCACTCGGATCTCCTCGGTGTGTTTGGTGAAGAGCTCAGGGATCTTGGCCTGGACTTCCCAAGGTGTGGGGGCAGGCTGAGCGTAGAAGTCAGCCGTTTCCCCTGTTATGGAAATAAAACAATTCATCCGTCCTAGAAACTTCACTGAGATAACATTTTGTTCAACTAACAGAAACTAAATGAAGCAGTTTTAAGTATCTAACATGAAGCCTGGGTTTAGGGGACATGAATACTGAGCTCCTACCTTCGTAAGGTTTCTCGGCCATCTCAGTTGATCTGGACTCGGTGAATGTCTCCAGACGCAACTTACAGGACAGACAAAGTACTTTAAAATTTATTCTGCGTTATTTAAAAAATCCTTGTATAGACATGGTTGGGATGTAAAGCATCTGACATCTGCTGCCCGTTGTGACAACCAGCTTGTGTTTTGCACCTCCAGTCCTAGAGAGCTGGTGTCCTACAAATTTTAGATATGTCTCTGCTCCAACACACCTGAGTCAAATGATTATGTGATTAGCAGATATTTGGAAAAATCTGACTGCATACTGATATTAATCAGCAATTTTACTTAGGTGTGTTTGACAAAGGACATATCTAAAGGTTCTCTCAAGGACTGGAGTCGTCAATCCCAGAGTTAAATGGGCCAAGAAAGTTTGTCTTGTGCTCTGAACTACTGGCTCTAATTTGACTAAAACATGATTGCACAGGTTTGGGTAATTGGACAGTTATACCTGGAGGAGTCCAAAATTAACTACATAAAAAAAAATTACTAAAATTACTTTGAACATATACAGGAAAACTATTACAACAGAGCTGTGACATTGCAAAAAAAAAGAAAAAGAGCTGTTTGCAATCCTCCACCTTTAAACACAGCAGCAGCAAATGGCAGCAGAAGTTTTTATAATTTCATAAGCCATTATTACACATTAGGTGTGTGGTGGACATTTTGTATGTGTCTCTGTTCAAAATAAGTGTCAACAGTCAATAGTATGACAGTTTGACCTCTTAACACGTGTTTGCTAACTTTGAGTGAATTGTAATTTATTCAATGAGACAATGTATGACCAGAGAACGCAAAGAGGAAGTTGCTGGAGGAAACCGTTTAGTTTGACTTGTGAGACTGAACACATGGGTTTCCAGAGTGTTTTACACTGATGTGTATTGGGGATTGAGAGAAACTGTGGGTGTGTTTAGAACTTGGTTTCTTCAGAGCAGTGTTTAGAAGAATGCTTAGGGATCTGATGTACCGTTTCCCTTCATGCACCAAGCAACTAGGTTAAGTTAACTTAAGTCTTTCCATGTCAAGATGGATCTTTGGCCCAACATAAAACAGTCCCAAACTGTGACACACAAATAAAAGAGTACACACTATGGAATAGAAAACCAAAGAATATAAAACTACAGATGCAAAACAGCAATAGCCACATGTTGTCTTTTGTGCACAGTGTTGGGAACATGGAACCAGACATGGGAAGTGTGCTGGTGAATTTTGTGGGTGTGTTTTTCTGCACTAATTAACATGTTTATTCACTGAGGAGCTATGGGGGGGGGGATAAGGTTGTTAGCATTAAGAAACTGTTAATGTGTTTTTAAGGAACGTCTAAGTGTATAAAATAGCAATTTAGCTATAGTAAGTATAACTAAATTGTTGAAAGAAAAATGTGTCAAACACTGATAAAACTGCCTTGTTTTTAATGACACCAAGACCTGTTTTCAGTTAGATTTCTGAGTAAGAACAAGAAATCTTAAAGGATGATGTTAAAAAAATCTGTGATCATCACAGAGTAAACTTTAGGTTTAGGAGTTTAGGTTATGTCCTGCTATCAGATCTCCAGACAAACAGATGAAAGATCAAGAAGTTTCTTTGAGGAAAATAATGGTATGCACCAATTTATTGGAAAGTAATAAGTAATTTAGTTTTGTTTTCTTTTTGGCATTCACTCATGCACATCATGTTAAGAATTGATCCAAATGTGTATTTATCTTCAAGTGAGGTTGGAACTAAAATGTAGGTGGTTCTGATGTTAAAAACTGTCTTTTCTAATTAGGACAGCTAACTGAAGCATGAATGTTTAGTAACAGATTTACTGGTAAATGCCAAAGTCTAAAGGTTTTATTAGTAATATAAAATGCAATCACCCTGTATGTGTTAAATGACTCCATGTTGGTAATAACACCCTCATTTGCTGGGCCTGATTGGTAGCAGCACTGAGAATCCACATAGTCTTTGAATGCCTGACGAGCAGCATCTTCTGACAGAGCGGGGATGCTGAAATAAAAAACAAAAACAAAAAAAACATACAAACACAAATAAAATATAAGATGGATGCAAACACGGACCAACATGTGATTTACTGAGTGTTCAGTGAGGTGAACGAGATCTTACTTCCACTCTTCAGGAGTGGGGCCAGGCTGGGTTGGAGCTACTGGCTGTAAAGGTACAGGAGGAGGCAAAAAACCACCTGCAACAACGACGGAAAGTTAGATGCCAATGTGCTGCAAATGTACAACTGAACTAGCAGGACTCTCCTTACCTGCACCAATTCCCTCATAGCCAGGCATGCTTGCAAACGGGTTGGCTGCAGGGGCATGTTGAGGCGGATATATGGCTAAAAGAAATAAAGGAAACGGATTACTCCACTCTTGGTTCCTTATAACTTCTTTAAACTGGTTTTATAACTTCTGTAGCATACCTTAAAATATGTTTAGACTTGTCAAAGTGTTTGAATGTCAGCTTACTGCATATTTTCACCGCAGAACAAAAAATGGGCTTTAGATGCCCAACTTTAGTCCCAGTCAGGTTTAAGCATCTGAGTTGGGCTAGATCACGAAAGAACAATCTTTTCAGCTTAATACAAAATGTAGATGCCTCAAATAGATTTTATTTGGGAAGTAAATACAAACAAAAAAGGAAATGGAAAGTAGATGAACCACCCAAATAACTGGAGCATAGCAGCTGGCTGTAATTATTCAGTTTTAATCCGTTTTCTGGATTTATCCATTTTTTTTTTAATTTTTGTCAGATAATAAGTGAGGCTCTGCTGTTGAGTCACAGCAGGTTTTTAGATTACTTTACATTGTAGTTCAGAATTAATTTATTATTACACGAAATGAATGCATCTATCCACATACATTCATTTAAAAAAATAACATTCAGATTTTGATGCAATTCTTCCTCATTTTTAAATCATATGAGTGTTATATTACTAAATTATTTTATTTATTAGTATCATTGCTGTTTGTTCCTTGGATTTGCACAAACTACCAGCATAATCCTCGTTTTTAATGTGCGCAGAGAGTTTTTGATGTTTTTGGACCATCTAGAGTGGAAAACAAAATTCCAGTTATATCTAATGAAATTGTGGGCTACAACTAAGTGGATGAAATTCTCATTCCCTGGAAATAAAACAATCACCAGAGGAAGTATTGGATTTATTGGCAGAAAGTTTTTATCTCTTTTTTCACCTTTTTGCACATATTGAAATCATACTTTACTAAGGTTGTTCATTCACTGCTTTGGAAGAACTGTTTATATTTAAATATTTAACAAATTCAGACACATTTTGTGTTTCCTGATAAAATCTCCAATCGTGTGGTTTAGACCACAGCAATGGGATGTTATCTGACAACTATTCAAATGATGATCGAGGGCTAAAAAGTGGGTGAGAGGGGGCACACAGTTGTTGTGACTTGTCTCACACCACCCCCGCATCTGTAGTGGTAAGTCACTAAGTGTTTCTAAGTGAAAAGCATGGAAACATGATTCCAAGGAATCTATAAAAAAAAAAGGATCCAGAAGTAGTAAAACCTTGGAAAGGGGCCAACTGTTTTTCAGGAACACTTTGTTCCTGAAAACAAGAAGAGTCACAGAGGTCCGCAGTACAATCACATAGTTCAGAATCTGTAAGTCCTTCAGTCCTGGCGGTTCATGAATGACCTTTGCAGATTCTAATCAGAAACCAGTTATGAAAAACAGGATCAGAAAATAAAAAAGTACTTTAAAATACTTTGTGCTGGACTGAAACAAATGTTTGTGGTGTATAAATACTTGCATAAAAATTTAAATTGGACATGATTCTCTTAATACATAAAATTAAAAAAAACAATAACGCAAAAAAGTGATAATTTTATCATAATTTTAGACAAAAACTATGCTGACGTCATAACTCTGGCTATAGGAGATTATAGTTCTTTTGCACACCTTACAACACTGATTTTACCACAAAAAACAAATAAACAAACAAACAGATTAACCTGAACACATAAAGTAAACACAGATCTTACTGCATTTTAATTGCAGTATGAAACGCTCACAAATGTGACGTCACTGGAAGATAACGTCTGTGTTGCCTGCAAGTTATGAGGTAAGACTCAGCTGTATTTACTTGCCAGTGATTTAGTTTTATTAAAAAAAGAGAAAAAATCATGAATATAACATCAAAATATTATTGTTAAAATTTTATAGCATGCCTACTCAAGGAGATCTCTCATTTCAATCCAAACAGGCTGTCTGCTGTTTTCACTTCTCAATTTTCCACTTCCTGAGTTTCACAATCACTTCCAATTCTTTTAATGCTGTAGATTTCAGAGAAATGAACAAATAAAAGGACCAAACATGCCTTTAAGAACGTCTAAACATGCCAAGGTCATTTGCCCATCATGTATTTTCTGTGTGGTCCTTTTGGACACATTGTAATCGGATGAGTGTAGCCAACACATGGCTGACCATTTAGGATGGTATTTCACCATATTGTTTAGATTCTGGTCATTTACACAGAATGAAAAAAAGAAGAAGAAAAAAGAGCTTTACCCACAAATAAAGTATTTTAGCAGTAGGGGAAAGCAATTGCAGCCTGCAGTCAGGTCCGTTATTAAAGGCCGGGCATTATGAGACAGATGATAAAATTCCCAATGATTGGAAGTCTAAAGTTTGTACTCTTAAAATCAATCCTTTGAAATGCAAAAAAGGAATAAAAGTTAAAGCATTTAAGAAGTACAAAATAAAAGTAAAAAATAGTCACAAACTGAATGTGTAAATGCATTTAATGAAGAAAGGGAGACTTCTAAAATAGCCCGCAGTCTCTAATTAGATTAGCTCCCAATGTTAACCTCGGTCGTAAAGATTATAGCTGTTTCCTATTCAGCCATTCACAGTGACCCGACAAGAAAATTGATCTCTTGAGAAAAATTGAAAAGATGGGCGTTTCGATGAGCTCAGAAGGTCTCTTCACTCCCTGCTGCAAACGGACCCATCAAACTGTAAAAAGTTAATGAACCAACCTGCGCTGTACATCTTGTTGGTGCTAGATGCTTTGCTCCTCTTTCTCTCTCTCTCTCTCTCTTTCGGTATTGTGTAATTTGCAAAGATTTTCTCTGAACGTTTCCCAAAATGTTGTGTACAGTTACCCCCACTCATTTAAAGCACCGTTCCCGGAAATAATAACTTCAAAATAAAAGAATTGCTGAGTTTCCACATAGCGGCTTAGTCGATTTTAAACAATGAATATTTTTCTAGTACTATAAGAGACTTTTTAAATATGTATAAGTATTTTGTCTTTTATTCGTTGCTTTCCTGTATCAGGAACATAAACCCATTTTTTTCATTATTATTATGCAGGACTTCCCTGGGCTCACATTTAATTTAGCACTATAATTTATGATATAAATAGAAGCAAAATAAAAAAAAATTCCCCAAAGATGAATATTTTAAATAAATACATGGTTTTCGAAGTCTTTTAAAATCTAACTGGAAATCTTCAGGGAAGATAGTTTTTTTTTCTTCTTGTCATTAAAATCGTTTAATACCACATTAAAAAAAAATAAAACATAGCTGCTCAGTTTAACCCGTTTGTCTATCAGAGTCTATACTGCAATTTGAATGTGAGAATGCGTTTAAAAAAGAAAAAAAAATCATTATTGTATTCATATTAGCTGTTCATGACCAATGTGTCCTGGGGCTTTTATTTTTGAAAGACTGTGTGGAAGCTGAGGCTTCTAAACTGAGGCTGTTTTCCATGTAATTTGATGAACACAAATGCCAGGAATGTTGACCACGCCTTATCTGTGATACATCTGGAGGGGCTCTTGACTAGCAAAAGAATATAGTGGCAGTGGCCACCAATAGGGGGGGAATACTACAAAACAAACCAGGTAAAAACCGTTGTACACATTGGAAATGTGCTGTAAAACATTTAATTTATTTTTATTTTATTTCTTTATTTTATTTGAGCAGACAAGATAAAGAAAAAACATACATTGTTGCATACATTGACATTACATAAATTGCTCAAAGGGAGTAGGAGGAAATATTTTTTTATGTTCCTGCTCTCTTTTACCAGTAAAAAATACAGTAAATAAGAATAAACATAAATGCCACTTAACCTATAGCAGAGGATGAGTCTGAGTTTTCATTACTGTTCGAAATGTATCTTTCTTTGGTTTTGACCAACAGGAAATACCAACAAAATAATTGTTTAAGTAATCGTTATATAATCCTACAATGGAAATTGTGGAGGAAAAGAACTCACAATGAAAATAAATTTGAGAATTTCACACCTTTCTCTGTCAAAATTCTTCTCTATTCTTTAGGTTTGTGATGTTAAAACATTTAAACTCTGGACATTTATGCATACAAATAAAAAATTTTCAAGCCTCGCACCTACAAGAGACTGGAACACAAGGTTTTTTAGCATAATTACTGTGGTTCATTAACTAAAACAATGACAGGACTTTGAAAAAGTGTGTCTAATTAGAGTAGAAATGCTATTATGACAAATGAAACAATGAGTACCATAACTAACAATTTCACAATAAACTTCACAAGTTTTACCTGTGATTCTTCTCATTGGAGGATGAGGAATTTACCTCTTGGACATGTAAAACCCAGCCAGATCGTCTCTGAAGACATGTAAAACCTGGCATGTCTGCATGTTCTGGTTGTCATGGAGGCATCTGGAACCATGACAGATCGTCTCTACTTTCCTCTGATGGTATGTCACAACTCTTTGTTTCTCAAGATTTTTCTTTTCCAGGAAATTCTCCACACCTTATTATAGAGCAGTGTTTCTCAACCCTGGTCCTCACCACCCCCCTGTCCTGCATGTTTTAGGTATTTCCCTTCTGCCACACACCTGAATTGTATATCTGGGTGATTAACAGGCTTCTGCAGTACTTGATAGTCATGCAGTCATTTGAATCAGCTGTTCTGGAACAGAGCCACATCTAAAACATGCAGAGCAGGGGGGCGGTGAGGACCAGGGTTGAGAAACACTATTATAGAGATATTGATTTTAACTTTATTTTAAATGTTAAGCACTTTAAACAAGTGTGTCCCTTTTTTCATGTTGCCATTGTATCATGTAAGATGCACTTTAATTACTTGAATTATTTTACACTTGCAGGGTCAGAAGAAGAAAATTAATATTTTTTTCTGGACTACATCTTATTGAAATGCAAGCTTTCTGTTACAAATGTGTAATTTCTTATTATTCTGATTTTTCTGACATAAAAATGTATATTTGTGTAAGCTGAAAATTATGATTTCAGTTCTTCATCACATTAAATCAGATATTACTTTTCTTTAAAGAGATAAATGCTTTGTTATACTATAAGAATGGTAGAAAAATGAAAGACAAATACAACTAATAACCATAAAATAACCTCAAACAATGCAATTTATTTGGCTCATAATACTTCGCAATGGTTAAATATAAATGTAAAACTGATCTAGTATGCAAAATTTGGCTAATCTTATGTTTACTCACTAGAGGGCGCCAAACCCAACACAAAACATAAACGCACACAATACCATGCATTTATATTAATGTGCATCTTTACAGTGATGCTCTTTCTGTGTTGAAGTCAAAGATAACAAACACAATGTCTCCATCCATAAAAACAAACAACTAAACAAATATATTTATAGAAAAATCAGTTCAGCACGGCATCATCATCCTTTCTCCTTCTACTGTGTTTACATGTAGCTTCAGTTTATTCCGTATCTAATCCAATTTAGTAGGGAGATAAGAGGTGAAGAAGCGAAGTGCTGTGAAGAAAGAGCAGATAGTAGGATGAAAAAGTTGATTGAAAGGACAGAAACATCCAGCAGGGGGAGCCAGAGTATTAAATACTTATACTGAAGACTTCACATTTGTTGTCTGACTGAGGCAAAGTTACTGATGTCTGAACGACAAACTGAGTCAGAGACTGACAGAGCAGAGACTGTGCCGTCTAAATAAATACAGCCAACTGTTTGACTTTCTGTGTTTGCTGCTCTGTCTGTAAATCAAGCTCACCTCAAAGAGGCTGAAATGTTTGAAAGGTTTTTGAGAATGATGTTCAGATCAGTCATGGTGAATACATGCACAGAAAGAAATAAGAAAGACACTTTTTTATGGCTCACAATGAAGCAGTATTTGTTTAAGCAGTTAAGTGCTATTCATTTGAATAATTACTATAACTACAGATAGGACAGCGGTGACCAGTCCATTAAAGGACCAAGATCCCAAACAAATGAAATAAAGCTTAACCAACTAAGTATTTAGTTCAGAAAGGTCCACAAAGAGGTTCAAACCTTCATTTGAAAAGCACATCTGCTAAACAACCCTGCATTCTAACATTACTATTAATAGGGCTTCACTGTTTTTTTTTCACTGTTTTTTTACAGGACAGGTTGTCAGATCAGATCGTTACTTTATCTTTTGGTGCTGAGACACCAGCCCAAAGAGGTTACTGGAATAAATACAGTATAAACCTGCAAGAAATTTCCACCTGGAAGGGAAAAAGTGGTACAAATCTTCACACTTTTGTTTGACACCCCTGTGACATTGTTTTCATAATGCACTGCAGCCCAGGGATTTTCTGGACACTTTACTATGAGGGGTACGTCCCAGAATACAAATGTCAGTGTTTCTACATGCGGGAATGAACTTCTGTGGACTTCCTGTGGAAACTAATAACTTATGAAACTGCCTTTGGTCAGCATCAACAAGAAAAGATGGAAAACATCAGCTTTACAGGGATAGTCTTTTGATGTGCCAACATAGCGTGACAGCCACATAGAAAGGGTTAAGGCTTGTGGCTTCACAAGTCAGCTCATCTGGTTCATGAAAAGCAAAAAGGAAAAACAAATAAACAGAGGCATTCAGCTATCTGTCTGCTTGGACTTAAACTGGATTTTTGTGTACAAGCCAAGAGAAATAAACACATAATCAAACAGACAGAAGAATATGTGATGTGTTTCTTCAGTCCTCTAGAACTTTCTCTCACTGGCTATTATTGCAATTAGCTTGGTTTCATCTGTTTGGTTTAAAAATACAAAAATAAAGAAAACGACGGAGGAGTTTGACTGTTAGCAGCACTAAATGTCTAAACTTTGCTGAGAACATCGACCGCCTGAGCAATGAAAACATTGTGGAGCCACACACATGCTGGTGACTCATCTATAGATTGCTTAATTCGATTTATTATTATTATTATTATTATTATTATTATTATTATTATTATTATTATTATTATTATTATTTATTTATTTATTTATTTATACTTGTGTTGTAATTTAAAACTATAAAATGTTTTCCCAGAAAAATTTGCTCTGATGGTCTGCTTTGTTTCATTTGTTTAGCTAAGATTTAAGATCTCTGACTGTGACCTCATTTTGACTCCTGTTTCTAATCCTGCGGTACTTTAACTAAAGGTTTATGTGACGTTTTCTTTTAAACTCAAGGACAAGTTTGCACTGTGCTGGTGAGTTTGAACAGACTTAACATGATGATTTTGTCGACATTCTTTTTCTAAGAAGATGAAGAAAGATTTCTCACAAACAGTGAAAAGTTGTTGCAAAGTATTTTTTTTTGTGATCATCAAACAAGAAAACAATGCATGAGTGTGAAGTGTACATTTGTATTCCCCTCTGTTGATGCTTACATGCCTAATTAAAACACAATCAATTGCCTTCAGATGTAACTTTGTTAGTAAAGTCCACTTGTGTGTAATTTAATCTCAGTATATACGCATCTTTTCTCTGAAGGCCAAGCAGCATCACGAAGACCAAGGAAGACAGCAGCCAAGTTAGTGACAAAGTTATGGCTGAGTTTAAAGACAGGTTAGCTGATCCGAGTATTTTTAAAATCTTAAGTATCTCTGTTAAATTCATCATCTGAAAATGGAAAGAGGGTGTCGTGACTGGAAACCTGTCGAGACAAAGCCGTCCACCTGAACGGACAGACCGCATAATCAATCAATCATCCATTATTTATAGAGCACATTTCATGCAGGGAGGTGTTTCAACACAAGAAGGGTTTCCTGGTTTTATCACTCTTATTTATCCTTGATTATTTTTGACAATATTGGATAATCACTTTATATGAAAAATATACACTAGAAAGAGCTTTAAATGGTCAGTTCCTATAAAAATGAATTTCATCTCCCTCTGCACCTCGAACTAAGAAGAAACCCCTAGGAGGGACTTCTTGTCAGGCGTTGCTATTCTTAACAGATTCAGGAGGGAGCTGAACTCACAGCTTTGAGTCTCTGGTCCTCCTCCACTGAGAGGATGTTTACACATCACTCTGTGTGTGTGTCACAGGGGTTAAGCAGAGTCAGGCATTCTTTCCATTACCCTCATCAAATCAATGTTTAACACTCCTCCATCTACTGTCCCTGCAGAACAGAGTCTGTTTGTGTGAGTGTGCGCTGTACATGTGTGTCGCCAAAACGCCTGATCAATAAACAGATAGGAAATTTGATCAGTAAAAAGTGGGACAGCGAGGCTGTCTGATGTGGGCTGGAGATAAAACTGGCACTCACCCAAAGCAGCTTGATGTCATTTCACAGCAGCTCAACTTCATTCCTCTGATTTCGAAGAACCAGACACGTCTCCCCCCACCCCCATCCTGCATCCCCAGCATCATCTGAAGGCTGGCATCTGCAGCACTACGGGAAATGTGGAAAGTACATTTACATTTATTGACTGAAATGTCTATAAAGCAAGTAGAACAAAGCAAAAAGTTTGGGATCATAAAATAATAAACCTGACTGGCTTAAACTTCTGTATTAAGAAAGGGATCACAAGCAATATAATGGTTGTTTGGAATGGAAATCAGATTTTCTGTTTTCCCAGAAAGAAAGACAATGAGTAAACCTGCTGAAGTTGGAATTTCTACTGAGAATGAGAATGTTTAGTATCCATTACCAAAATCTGTAGAATGTAGTAAAGCTGACTAATATAAATTATTTATTTATACAATATCTACCCATCCATTTTCTATAACCAATTATCCATGTAAGGTCACGGGGGGCTCGCGCCTATCTTCGGCTGTCATTGGGTGAGAGGTGGCTGGACAGATTGCCAGTATGTAAACAATATGTTACAGCCATTTATCCAAATGTACACACACTCTTAGGGAGTCAAGAGTGTGGGAGTCAAAAGGGAATCAAATAAAACAATGTAACTAATAATGAAGTCTTTCTTCGATCACTTAGTTTACAAAATATACTAAATACTTCTAATCCCAGCCCTTATGCTACTCAAATGAAAGTAATAAACAATTCTGAATATGAAAAACAAAAAGTGACAGAAACATTCAATGCATGTAATTTATATTCCATGTCATCATGTTTCCTTAAAACTATGTTTGTGCCTATTTATTTAACTACACTCAAATTACTCCACAGTTTGACTCCACACACAGAGGCAGGCAAACATATTTCTGGTGGTCTGTACATAAACATTTTTAAAGTTGTACACACACAAATTAAGAATTTTCTGACTTCATAGATAACATTTTTAACATTTCTAGTGACTGGTCATTTTTTGCTATTTGTCATGTCATCATATCAGGGCAATTCAAGCTAATCAACTTGGTAAAAATCGCCAAATGTTTAAGTTAAAGTACACAAAATGCAGTTTTAAATATGAATATGTGTACTTTACATTAATAACTAAAGGTGGGAATTTTTATTCCAAAAAGAATAAATAAAAATAATTAAAAGTCCTCCAGACCTTTGCTTGATGTTTGACCCCAGAAACTGCTCTAACATCAAAAACAACATTTAGTATTCCTTTAAAAATAGAAGTAATTCATTGTGACTTTGAGCTGTTACCAGGTTATTTCAGTATGCTCACTTTGTAATTCACAGACTTTACAGATCTCCCACGATCAATAGAGTAAGCCCTGGAAAAGTCTCCACATAGAGAAATGGATGCACAGCTCCAAGTCAATTTGCCTCTTCATCACTTTCATCCCTTCCCACGTTCTTTTTCTGCTCAGACACAAACCGCTTAATGTTTGCACTATGGCATATGTACTTAGTTTTTTTTAGCTGTAAAGTATTTTCATACTTCATAAATGAATCATAGAATATTAATAGCAGAGATGAAATGTCTCAATGGTGGGTGTGATTTGATGTATGATTGGTGGGAAACATCCTGATTAGACATCACTACTCTGTTCTAGAAAAAAACATAGGTACAAAACAACCAAAACAAATGCACTTAGTTTAATGGTGAGGGAACAAAATGATCAGTTTTGTGAATATTCACTCATACTTAAGGGAAATCAGAAGTGGCTAATGAACGGGTAGGTGGCTGATAACATCTAACATTTGTGTTTAGTGAAGGTTAGCAAATAATGTCAACCAAAAATAGAATTTTAGTATTTGCCAAATAATAATAAAGAAAACATCCACTATGAATTATAATGCATAATTAGTGTTGCATAATAAAGTTGTACTTCCAGAAGTCACTGTTAACATTAACTGTCCCAATACTGAAATATGCACAAAAAGCATGGATCAAATTTATTTTTTGTAGACTAAACTCCAAGCAGGGAAATCCCAAAGGCAATCTCTCTAACATGTGGCCTGTTTTATTTCAGTCACGTAGAGGTGTCTGCATTAGACTGTGTTATCATAACGACCGTTCAGTAAACAACTTCTTCTAGCAGACATTGGCTAACAGACAGCAAATTACCAAGGCAACAGTAAACATTCAAGAGTTTTGACAGTGTGTTTATGCAATGTGGATTACTAATGTTTGATCCATGTAGCTTCAGCTGACAGAACTGAATAAAACAACCAAGCCACACCAGGAGGTTTCCCTGAAAGAAATCAGTCTAACAAAATGGTAAATAAATAAGTTACTGTCAAAAATTTCAATAACATTCTTCTTTTTCAAAAATTGTTACATTTATAGCTACCAGTGTGAACTTGACAAGCGTACATGCTTGGTTTTAAGGAATCAATAAAAAAAAAATGCATTCACTGATACACATTGGTGTTATGCAAAACAGTAAATTTCTGTTCTTTCTTTTCTTTGTTTTCTTTACTCTGTTCAAAATTTGCCCGGATAATCTCACTTGACACAAGTTGTGTTTTGTAGCAAAACATAGTTTGCCTAACAAACTAGTTTTTCTGTCAATAAACTGGTTCTTTGGTTGTATACAGATGAAAAAGTAATGAGCTACATTATAATCATACCTTTATTTCCAAAATATCTTTGAAAATATACATTATTAAGCATGCCAAAATAACCAGGCTGTAGGGTTACTTTGTGTTTTTACACTGGGCTTTTGCTAGTTGGAAACTAATTTTCAGGAAAATCTAATGCCATTGTCTCTTGGTCTTTCCTCCCAATAACTCACAAGCATTTTCTGTTGCTTCAATATCGAGGGAATCCAAGACAAAAAGTTTATTTGCTTAGTTATGTTTGTTGACTTGAGAATTTGACTTGAGAATAACTGTGGAAGAGTTATTGCTGTATAAAGTAGAGCGTAAACACATCCATCTGCAACTGGATCCTTGGCATTTTGACAGAAAGGCACTGAATACTGGGGTCCCTCAGAGTTGTGTACTCAGTCCTGTTCTGTTCACTGTGCAGCAGTGCACAGATCAAACTGCATTATGTCATCTGCAAAGTTTACCATAGTGGATTTCATCAATAAAAATGTCAAGTCAGCATACAGAGAGGAGGTGTGATGGCTTACAGACTGAAGCAAAGTCAACAACTTGTTACTGGGAGTTGCTAAATCAAAAGACATGATCACTGGCTTTAATAAAACCACAGAGTGACCACGAGCCACTTAACTTAAACAGATCCTCTGTGGAGAATCCCCCAGGCCCCACCATATTCCTTGATCTTCACTTGATGACATGGATGATGAATTCATATCTGAACACTTTTCAAGCGCACCACTGAAAAGTTGTCATTGTCTTTCTTTCATTTACCTCACACCCTGGATGGGTAAAGCCAGCAGTATTGTAGGAAATCCCAGGAACCTCCTGCATGAACTCTTAACATAATATTAGATAATCATGTGGGTCCTCACTTTCAGATTATGTGCTTAACATTTTAATCAGGTTGGTATATATGTAGTGCTAGGTTTCTGGAAAATTAAATCTTATGTAACTTTGCAGTGTTTCACCCTTATAAGGCTGTAATGATAGTAAAGCCAACATGACTTGGTTTGGTGTCATATTTTAACATCAGCAGAATATCATCTTCAGGAAACTGGGCAGGATGAAGGGGTAAAAAATGACAGAACTTTCACTTTTTCAATAGACACTGCCAAGTATGCAATGATAATTTAAAAAAATATTTAAAAATCACAAAATAAGTATTTTTGTACAGCTCTAGTAGACATGATTGTATGACTTGAAAATTTTATTTAGCACATTAATCTGAACACAAGAAATCTCGGGATAACAACGGGGTGGACACAGTGATCAGGTTCCCCATGATGAACAATGTCACATCACCTCTACTGATACACACACACGCACTTACACACACCCATGCCACTGTTAAACCAAAGAATGGTGATCTGTTACATTCATCTGAAATCCTCATATTGACGTCATTTGGAGGTAAAGTCACAACGAATTTGACACTAAACAGTAAAACAGGGGAGCCACAGTCACAGTAAGTGTCTTCTTTTCATTCATCTTTCAGTGACAGCTTTGTCTGAGCCTGACCCGCTGGTCGTGATAGACACAGCTGATGCTATTTTCCACAGTATCACAAGCAGGTAATCAATCGTTCAAGAAGTCACAATAAAAGTCTTGATGAAAGCAAGCCTTCAGAGGACAGCTAGGTCATGGCAGCTCTTGGAGCGCACTTTTACTGCCATTCGCTGGTTGTTTCGTGCCACCAGTCGATCCAGGAAACGGCGGGCCTTCTTGGTGAGGCTCTCTTTACGCTTGTAGATTGAGTTTCTGTGCTTTGTGACCTCGTTACTGTCCCGACGGAGACGAATCTGTCGGACCACACCCTCAAACAGTTCGGACACGTTATGCTGCAGGGATGCAGACGTCTCAATGAATTTACAGTCAAACACTACCGCACAAGCACTGCCCTCTAGGAAAGAAAGGAAAGATGCTAAATTATTAAAGTAGGATCAAATGATGTTTAGCCATTTTTCAATCATGGATCAGTGACCCCACCTTCCACAGCGACCTCTCTGGCCCGGACCAAGTCACTCTTGTTTCCTACGAGGATGATGGGAAGATTTTCGGCTTGTCGAGCGCGCCTCAGTGTTATGCGGAGCTCAGCAGCTGAATCAAAACTTGAGCGGTCGGTGACAGAGTAAACAATAACATAAGCACTCCCCACCTTCAGGCAGTCATCATGACAGGTTGGGTCTCCTTTTTCCTAACAGAGGACACAATGACAGAGACTTCTTAATTTTTCCTAAACAGAATAAAAGGATAGTAAAAAGTGAATCGCCTTTAACTTTTGGGATTATGCACACATACATAGGGTTGTGGCATAGCTATACTTGTTTTTCTACAAACATTTCTATTGTGGTTTCTTATTGTTTAAAAAATACTAACATTATCAAGTCAGTGATGTTTCGTTTGAGGAGAGACCAGATTTTAAAGACCAGATTGTACATTTTCCTTCATATTGTTGAATTTTGACAAACACTTATGTTGGTAAATAAACTACAGAAAGAAATTCTGTTTACCTTTGAATGAATGGGGTCAATTTGACCATGATTATGTCTAACAATACTACATTTTTCTTTTTTAATGGTTGCACAAATTTTGTGTTGGAAAGTAACTTACCAACACAAATAAATGCTTAATACCCAGACAATTGATTGGTTGTGCTGGATTTTAAGCAAATGTAATTTTTAATTACATTTTTTAGAAGGATGTGGTCTGATTACATTTTCAGAACTTTTTCCTTTGTTAATGATGATGACATATACACACACACATTCACGACATGCTTCTTGTTTATCTGGACAGAACTAAGAAGTTATATTTCACGCTTAGAGATATTTCCACACCAATATACACTCACTCAAATGCAGCATACCGATTTATCACCTTCCCATGTGTCCATGACAATCAGTGTTGTTTCCTCTCCATCCACCATCAGTGTCCGTTCATATGTTTCCACTGTGAGGAGCAATAAATATAGGCACATAAACAGCTGGGAAAATTTAACATATCTTATTTCTTATGTTATGTTGGATTTGAGTTTTGGATTCATTCATATAAAAAGGTTTTTAATTTTGAGCTGCCTTGTTGCTGACATGAGATATAACAATAAACTTGACATAACCCTGGTGCAAAATATTTTTTTATTCTTTTCTCTTTTTCCAATGTGAATGCTTTAAAAATTACTCTGGCAGTAATGACAATTAAAACATTTGATAAAATCTTATTTGGAACAAACCCTTTTGTGAAAAGTTCATGCTAATAAATAAACTTAACAAGATTCTTTTTATACTTATCCTGTCATTTAATGCTGCTACTTTTGGATGACTTGTTGCCATATTAGAAACTTGTTGCCATATTTTGTCAATTCAGGACAGTTTTATGAGACTGATGTAATGATAATAATATAAGACGTCCACACATCTACCAATTTAAAAAAATCAGAATTTGTCCCTGACTTTTTACTAAACAGTGAAGTAAATTTACTGTGAAATTCCTTTCATTACAGCTGATGATATTTAGTTTCTGATCGGTTACTAAAGTTACAACATTTTGCAGGCTTTTCTTTTTTTTCTTGTCAAATTCTTGTTGCCATTTAAAAAACAAGATTAACATCAAGTATTATCTTTACCATTATATGATCTTAAGATGCATACAAGTAAACTTAAATAAAAAAAAAATTTCTGAAATGACCTGAAAAAAATATAAGTGTTTAGAAATCATAAATCCTGGACTACTAAACTAAGTTAATATGTATTTTTTATGGGTAAAATCAGATTATGGTGTCTATTGGACTGGTTAAACACTTCCTCCAAACTTGTTCATGTTATTCTACATTTTCTTTTCTATTTTATTTACAATCTCTTGAGAAGAAAATGTTGAGTTCAGTTGCTTAGATCGCATTTGAGGTGCTGTCTAAAGCTCACATTTAAATTGAACTATTAACTTTATGGAAATATCAGCTTAAACCAAAGTGATGGATCTTCAAAGTGAAACTGGTTTCTGAAGAGCCTCAACTTTGGCCAAAAGCTGGACAAAAGTTCAAAAAACTAAAACACATCTACCACCAGAATTACTGTTGAGACAAATGAGGAAACAATAAAAGCACAAACAATCTCTGAGTCAACAATATGTACATAAAAAACAAAACCCAGAGCTAATTCAGTACAACTAACTGCACACCAACCCTGTCCTCACAGTGTGTCAGACTGCTAATGGATCAATATGGGCTGCCAATCATGGCCAGAGGCCCAAAGTCACATGACACAAGAGCTCATCAATAATGTCGGGCCAGTCAAGGTTGCCATACCACAACAAAGTCAAAGATACTGTGCACAAATCTGAGCAGAGAAGCCTGGTTTTCTGCATCCATGTGATGTTTTGTACCCCAAAGATTATAAATAGTGTGCAAAAAAAAAACCTTTGTACAAGACTTAACATATATTTTCAAATACAAAGCAGCTGTGATTGAAGCTGTCTTCAGTCAGAAGAACAAGGAGCACTGTGGCGGGTTGTGGGGGCCATATGGTGCCAGGATCTCTAGATCGTAGAATCAATCTGTGATTGTGAGGACGGATGGAAGATGCTGAGACAGCTACGCCTCTAGAGAAAGAGTGGCAAGCTAAACACGACGGTCATTGTTTCCACTGTCCTCATGCTTCATTTCCTGTGAATGATGCTGAGAACTTTGGACCCTGTCATGACTGATGGAAACCAGAGTTCACAGAGATATTTACAGAGTGCAATAAATTGAACATCTTGTTTAATGAAAAAGCAATAAATTAAAGCACTGCTGAAGCCATGAAAGCACACTGACAACTAATTTATTAAAGAGTTCCACAAACAGCGTCCCACCTCCAGGTTGATCATCTTTCTCCGTGATTCCAGCAAAGATGCCTGCGAGGCTGGTCTTCCCGACACCATGGTCGCCAAGCAACACCACTCTGTAAACACACTCTGATTCACTCTGTGAGTCGTCATCTGAATCAGAACTCCAGTGAGCGCGGTAGTGGAGGGACTTGTCTCCGGGATGGTAAGATGCTGACTGCCCTAAAGGAGGGTGACTGCGAGTTGGACCGGGACGGTCCGGCTGTGTGCTCAGGGATCTTTGAAGGTCCCAAGTCCCGCTTAGCTGCTGGTAGAGGGGAGGAATTGGTGTGCTCCCTCGACGCCGCAGAGGCTCCTTATCTCTCTGAGTGTTAAGGGTCATAATGTTACGGTAACAGCATCAGGACAGGATGGGCCTATAAGGAAAATGGGACAGGTTAAATTTTGTAATCATCGATGTTATAAAGCATAAGATGTATGTTAAAAGTATATACAGGGCGGTTCTAGCGAAACACTGATCCTTAGAAATGAGATGTCGTCTTTCTTAAACCTAAAAATATGCAGACTCCAATGTGGCAGCGTGCACACTGAAAACCTGAACCTTCCTCTTCACCTTAAGTGCAGCTTCTTTAGGACTCATAGAGGAAGCGGTGCAACTTTAGTTTCATTAAACACAGTAGTAAACATGACAATGGTCTGATAAATTTATGATTAAGTCACAACGTTTATCTCCTAAAGCAAGTGAGTCACATTGCTGCATAAGATCACACAACCCTTTCTCTCTGCTGACAGACACCAGCAGATATATATTTGGGAGAGATAGGTGAGACAGAGGTGGACAGAAAGGTAAGGAGGAACAATTATACTGATATATTTCAAAGTACTTTTCTTTGTTTCAAGCAATACTTAAACTCTATGAGATTATATTGTGACTCACAAATAAGAGTAAGTTAAATTTCTAGTATTTTCTGGCAACAAAACTTTGTGCTCAATTTCAAAATAACCCTATATTTCAATAGCTTTACACCATTGGTGGAAAGAACACAACATAAAAGTTAATTAGTTGTCAATACAAACATTTTAAATACTTAAAAGAAAAATTATGTAATTTTTAAAATTTCATTTTAATTTTCGCTTGTCACGTTATTTTTTTTTCACTCACAATAGTCACAATATCTGTTTCAAAATTATGTTGTTGCTGTAAAAGAAAACAACCTGGAATTTCAGGAAGCTATTTGTGTCTTTTATGTGTTTTTTTATCCTTCAGATGCCTTTGTAAGATATTGTGACTCTATTTTGTAACAAAATACTTAATTGACAAGAGTATCAAACTAAAGAAAATAATATATATTTTAAAACCTTGTTATATTTTTTTAGAATATTTCTGATATTTCTGTGTTTTTGGTGTTTCCCTGGGTTTGGATAAGTTAATTAATAATAATTAATAATGCTATTAATTATTATTTATTATTAATAATACTATGATTGATAATAGTATTATTCATAATAGTAATAATAATACAATTAATTATTATTAATTAAAAATATTCCTTTAAATGTTACTTAAAGGAACGTCAACATTTTTCAAATGGGCAGTGTGGAGCATTTTCAGTAGTCAGTAGCTTAACTGCAGTGGATACCTCTCGTGATCCACTGGAAATCGGAAAACTTCTCATGGATGCAGGAAGCTAACAGATACTCAGAGCAGGAAAAATATCTTAAAGACTGAATTGATCCTATATAAGGCAATTAAAATCTCAAAAGTATATTTAGACTTTATTGTGATTGCATCAGACTGTTTTTTTTGTGTCTGTTTTTTCAAGGGATCAACATCTTTGTCTTGATGCTGAATAACTGAGTTGGAATATTTTTTGTCTAACTAGCAGTTCTTCTTCTATAGAAACTGTGTCATATAACTATGCTTATTACACCCATTACTGCTCATTTTTAGTGTGTATATTTATTGTTTTGGAGTAAATTTTACTCACATTTTATCCTTTGAAAAAATACTCAGTTTTCTCTGCATAATCCTTTGCTTAGCAAAAAAAACTGTTATATTTGAAAAAGCTGTAACATGAACAACATTTTGAAGCATGTGTCTGTGTGTGTTAGGAATATTTTTTTCCAATTGCACTGATTTATTTTAAAAGGTATAATTTTGATCTAGATTGTACTGAGTTAGATACTGACTACTCATAACTACTCTATACAACTACACTTAAGACATACTGGGCCATAAAAAAGGGATTCTGGTTTGTTGGTTTATAACTCAGCTGACTTACTTCATTACTCTTTAGTCTGATTAAAAGTTAAATAGGTGTAGCTTTTATTCACTAAACAGCTGGTTCTGCAATTATATTCTCTGTTTATTTGAATTGAAACTGTCCTCAAAAACTAATCAAACCTCTCACAACAGTTGATTTACATGGAAAACAACAATGACTCAAATAATTAATACTGCGTAGACAGTATTGGCAAAAGGTTATTTGAAAGATATAAAACTTTCCAATATATGAGCTGTGCAGGACATAGCAGCAACACTTAAACAAACCTCCTGCAATAAATAATTCAAGCATTTAAAGATGCCAAGAATGGCAGGCAGGATGGTGAGCACCATTTAGACCGGCCAAGAGCTACGTAGTTGTAGTCCAAGCATAAACTATGAACGACCAGCTCTCTACTTCATAATTATTCAGCTTATTAAAGAAATTGGACTTTTCTGTTGACAGCAAAGTTGTCAATGTTCTTTGTGTTTTCATCAAGAACAATCCCACAGGTAATAAAACATATACACAACTTCGCAAGTTAACATATTTTTTATTAACTTCAGTTAAGCCAGACTTATTTATTAGGTAATAAGAAATCTCAAGAAGAAATGAAACATACACAGATTTATACAGAAGTCTACACAGGGAATAGACTCTATGTGAGGCTAAAAGTACTACCTTGTATGTTAAATATCATTAGCTCATATGCACTAAAATTAAGTACAGATATATAGTCATCATTTCACAACTAATATAATATTTAAAAAAATACAGCATTACAAGTTTTATAATTTCTGTCTCGGTACAGGAACTACTTAACACACGCAATGCTTAAATGCTACAAAGTAATGTCAATCAGTTCATTTAAATATCTGGACCTACCATACACTCCATGCACAGTCTAGGTCAGTGCAGCCTCAGTAAACAACAGAAAAGAGTTGAGCCCGGTCTCCCCGTCTCTGTCAGTGTAATAGTATCCCGGTGCCACAGTAACCCCGGCTGGAAAAAAAAAAAGTTCCACAACAGCGTTAAAAATTCAGCAGCAGAATCACAGTTATCAGCCTCCCTCTGTGTGAGTGTGTGTGTAAGAGAGACAGCAGAGCAGAAACAGATATCTGAGGAGGGAGAGTGTGCAGGACTTTTATCAGAGTGGAGGGTGAGCTGCTTTAGCAAACATTTTTGGTCACTTCCTGCTTGATCTAAAAGACACAGTTTAACTACATGAAACAACTTGGCTTGGCTTACGTCTTTTCTTCTGTTCTATTGTTCTAAATTTTGTTTTAAAAAACATAAAAAACAAAACAAAACAATATATTTTCTTTTGATGGAACATTTCTTCTGTTTTATTGTTTGCTGAAAGTGTTAGATTTCCCAGACTAACATAGATGACAGCTATAGATCAAATTGTTAGCTGAAGATTAAATATTTTCTGAGATGTGGTGAAGAAAAGCACTATTTATCATGTGCTTTTCAAATTTGATCTTTATGGAAAATTGGCAAGAAGAAAGCTACTTTATCCAAAGATCTGGCAGACCAAGCAAGTTCACCCTAAAAGCAGATCACAAGATGCTAAAAGAAGTCTTCAAAAATCTACAGCACATTTTTGCTACTCTGTTTTATTTTTTATTTTTTTTATTTATTGGCTCTAGTGGCCTTCATATGATTGTGAATGAACAGAAAAGCGTGTTGTGAGAGAGACAGAAGACATGCAGCAAAGGTAAACAGGCTGAGACTCAAAGCTGTGACGGCTGAATAGAGGACTGACGGCTCCATGCCTGGGTGGCGCGGTTTACCCTGGTACCACCGCTGCACCCCAAACTCATGCTACTGTTGGTGTGGAAGAGCCCCTACTATTAGTTAGATTATTTGGACCTCACAGCAGAGGATATGGACTCAGCCACTGGACTGTCTGATAAATTAGACATTTGTGCAACAGTCAATTCCCTAAGATGCCTTGAAATAATGGATAATACAAGAAATCTGCCCACCTTAGACTCTGTGTGGTGTTTCCATGTTCACCTTGTGGAAGCATAGTTACTTCAGCTGCCTCTCACAGTCCAAAACCACTGTTTGGTTAATTGATCTCAGAGATGGGTTGTTTGTAAATGTGTGTCTCTGTAATGTGCTAATAAACTGACTCATGACCTGTTCAGAGGATACCTCAAATCTGGACTGATGACGGCTGGAGGTAGGCACTACATAGACAATGTATGTGTGGATGTATTAGGTAAATACATTTCTTTTAAAATTTCACAATTTCATTAGGAAGTTTTAGTTGGTATTTTGACTTTTATAAGATTGAAGACTGTGAGAAATGGTGGTGAACCAAAAAACAGGAGGTGAGTTCAATAAGAAACTGCAGTAGGAAGTTGGAAAATTTAAAGGCCACAGGCTGACCTTTAATAAGTAAGACCAGAATGTTCTGCATAAATCAGTTTACAGATGAATCAGATTCATTTTTTCATAATTGGATTAAAGAGATGATTAAAATTCAGCACAAATGAAAAACACAGGCTATCAGAATTATAAGAGTCTATTTTGACATGTTTGCAGGAAAAGTGTTACACATTAGTGCTAAACTTCACATAGTTTTTTTGGCATAAATGGCTTTCCATATTTTACACATGTAACATGATGGAAAATTAAATGGTAGAGGGCACGCAGTACTTCCTCTGTGTCAGAGTGAGTGAATGAAACTCAACACATCACAGATGTTGAGATATCATCCACCCCCACGCAGTTCAAAGGTTTAAGAGCGAGAGGAAGCATTTCCATAGTCACTACACCATAAACACTCTACTTTAAAAGCTGCAGAAGCTATTTGTTTATTTTTTATTTCTATAAAAGATGAACTCAATCAGATTTTTCAAATAAGAACATTGGAAAGCTGTTTGCTATTCGCTTTAACCAAACCAGCATAGCAGCTTATTATTCCTTGAACTGTCTGCAGCTTAGCGGCTGCTCTAGCTAATATTTGTCTTCGAAGTTGGTTTAAAACTTGAACTTCCATTCCTTCCAGATGACTCATTTTGGAAAGCAGATCTCTTTCATCTGTAAATGAACAAGTTAGAAAAATAACCATCCTTATCAGCTGAAGAGACATACACAGCACCGCAGCTTTTGAAACAGATGAGCAGAATGATTCATTTATCGTCATTACCCCTTTGCTCTGGTATTAAAAGTATTATCTTTTTAAATTAATGTAACTCTTTTGTATTCCCCTCATTAACTCAAATAGTTTTTGTATGTTGCAATATTAGTTTTTATGATTCCCTGTTACACGTGGAACACTTTATTTTGTCGAAATGATGCCTTTTTAGGAAGAGAGAGTCAGTTGAGGTTTTTATAGAGTTAATAGTGTCTCTCTATGGCATTAATCACCACTGCCTGGGTGAAATCAGTAAGGTTTATTTTTAGTGTAAATGAGCAAGCTGGCCATTTTTCTGCAGATGTTTTGAGCTTGCTTCATTCTTCAAGTGAATGTTTATATATGCAAAGCAATTTAGGTACATTTTTGTAGAGGACCACCTGTAATGATATGCAATGCTGAGTTAAGCCAAAAGTCTGTTAGCCTCATCCAGATTGTGTGATTAAACAACAATAAGTTCCAGAAATGAGTTTCTTTATTGTTTAAACTCACATGGGGACTGCAGTTAAGATCCACATAGCAACATGAACAATCATCAATCCTCATTTTGAGGTTCAAAGAAGAATTTTAAGAATTTGTGTGAATTTGAGAATATTACTTCTCCTACATGAGTAAATTTTTGATACTGTTTATTAAAGTAGATTAATTCTGATAATTGCTTCATACAGTGATGTTTTTCAGTTGTACACATAAAGTTTGAGTAACATAATGTATAATATTATTAACTTCTACTGCCCCCATGTGGTATTATCAATACATGTATTTATTTACTGCAATTAATCACAAATTAATTAGAGCGGTAATTTCCTAAGTTTGGGGTTTTCAGCTCCTACTTAGAAATTAAACTAAATAACAGAAAAAACTATAGTAAAGTATCTTTATGCCATAATCTACAAAAAAGAAAAAAAAAACACTTTTGCCTTTTTTTTTTTTTATTTATTTATTATTATTTTTTTAGGTTTTATATAACTTGAAAATTATACCAAATATCAATTTGTCAATAGGCTGTTGAAGAGAATCTCACATGATACATACAATATCCCAAGCAGAGGACTTTAAGACTCTTGGTGTGTTGTTAATGAAATGGACAGACAGATAGGGCCTGCAGCAGTAATGCAGCTGCTGCTCCAGTCTGTCGAGGTGAAGAAACACAGAGCTGAACCAAAAAGTGAAGGCAAGACAAGAAAAGTTTATTTGTGTGGCCCATTTTAGAAGCAAGAAAATTCAAAGTGCTTCACATGATAAATCTCTCAGTTTACAGGTCCGTGAGCTGTGGTCATGACAGCTGAATCATTGCCAAAAGAGCAACATCTCTTAGACTCTGCCTTCATTTCAAATAATTTGAAAGGAGCCAGTAGATGTGGTTTTGGTATCTGATCAGGATGGCTCCAGGTGCCTCCCTTTGGAGTCGGGGAAGACCCAGAATTTGTTGGAGCAACTACCTTGTCAAGCCTGGGAGCGCCTTGGGATACCTCCAGTATTGTGAGTGCGTGTATTTGTGTGCATGGATGGATGGATGGATGGATGGATGGATGGATGGACATGTGTAAACCTTGTAGCCCCCCTAACAGCAACACTGCATCAAACTTTAGCAAAGTAGTAAGGATGTGTAATATTCGTCACCAACTTTCTGCTTATTGTTTCCAGGCTTTTTATTACATAACACTAAAATATTTTCAGACACAAACTCAATTTGCTTGCCGACATTTTCTGTAACTAAATTATGAGAATCTATTTCTATATTTCTACAATATTTTCTATGCTCAATTGTTGTCATTATGATTATAAACGACCACTTCTTTATTTGTTTCCTCCAAACCAAACACCAAGAAGTATGATCATCACATTCCTCCAAGAAAGTTTTAATTCAGCCAAAAACAGTTTTAAGATATTTAAATGTTTTCTTCTTGTTTTATACTTGTATTTAGGGTTCATTTAAAGGGGAGTTTTGTGTAGGGAACATTGGTTCATCTCGATTTCAGTGTTCATCGATGGACACTGCCTATAAAATCTGTTTTATAACATTTTCCTGGTGATGAGGTTAGTCAGTCTAACCTCATCACCAGGTTAGACAGATTCATTTTCAAACAAGAAATCGTGATTGTCACAAGAGTTATGGATGTTCTTCATTCTTTGTCTAAAGGAAGCTTTCTTCTTCTCTCCTCTTCTTGTTACTGCTTTCACTCTGGGTTTCTGGTTGACTGGAGGATGAAGTAGGCTGGGCTTCATCTTGACTTCCATCACAAACAGAGTGAAAACTTTGACCTGGAAGGCAGAATATTAATGTAAAATGAATGGATTTTTCAGGCAAAAACTACAGAAAATGAAATTAATCACAGCTGGTGTTGGTTTTAGCATACTTTTTTGAAGTTTGTTTGTTTGCCATGGAGGTAATGCCATACTGAGCCACTGGGACATTTTCTTAGAGATCCTGTCTGGAACTTTGAAGGGGACACAAATGAAACAACAAATACATCTTCATAAAAACATGTAGTAGGACCATATTTCAGAAGTTGAAGAGGCATCAACACAAAAGGTAAACAGAAAATAATAATTGTATTATAACAAATACAGGAAACAATTCATCTGAATTTAGATCTTCATATCCTAATGAATTACAGGTCAGCACTGTTTTTTTAAAAAAAGGGCGAATAGTACGTACTCTTTGAAAAATCAGAGGTGACTGTTGAGGCTGTTACATTTTCCTGCACATGTTCTTGGGATATTTCATCAATATCTGTTGCAGTTTCCGCCTGCAATGCAAATCTTTCCAAAAGGTGATCCATAAGATCCTGAGCATGCTCTGGCTTAGTTCTGATGGCTAATTGCAGTGGAGGTTGTCCAACAGAGATCTTCAGCAACGTAAGGTTTCTGAGGAACCAGAACCCCGGAGAAGTACATTACACTCTCCTATCAGATACTTGCACTAAAGTAACATTTCGCCAAACTATTCAACTGAACTTAAACGATGACACTGTGTTCCAATTTGTTCAAGTAAATCCAACCAAAAATAATTGTCTAAAACAAAAATGTAAAAGTTTTAGACTTTACCTGTTTTTGAAATGTCTATAAACCCAAAAGAGAACAACCAGAACAACCAAAATCACAAATAAAACCAGGAGTGATATGAAGAGGATGTCAACTGACGTCTGATAGACCATGGCAATGCTGATCCCTGAAATGTAGAGGACAGTGATGCATGTGTTTTACTGATCAGCTGTTTTAAGCATAAAGGAGGGAAAAAAACAGTTGATTATTGAAACAGTGGAGACAAAACAATGTTAATTTTCTGTTATCCTACAATTACTGGCTTTACTTTCTAATTAAAAAGCTCAAACACTTATAAAGCTATTGATTTGTGTTCTCTATCCGTATAGAGAACACAAATCTCTGAGCTAAATGAAATGATGAGTTCAAAAAACTTTGAGCAACTATCAGAATTTCCCACTTGAAGTCTGTTTAAGTTAATCCTTATAGAGAATGAAAAAAAAAACACAAATAAAAAAATACCTGCTTTTTCCTGCTACTCTCTTCCCTTGTTTAATTACCACTAAACAAAAGCCCTGACCCTTTCATTTGAATTTAAAAGTAAACATTCTGTTAGAATTTCGTTAAGTAATTACAGAGTTTGATTGTCATCAGTTTTTAAGATTTACTACAGTTACTATAACAAAAACAATAATTATTGATGCAATTTTTATCATTTCTAGACAAAGAATCAACACTAATTAACATTCATAGCGTGCGTGTAGCTTTTTATACCTTTCTGCCCAAATAAATAGCTATGATGTTGTAGAAAAAAGGTTAGTGTTGCTCATACAAGTTCTATCAGATAGTGTAAATGGCTCGTATTTGATATTCCTTCTTCTGTCAGCTGTTTGCCATAATTACTGCAAATTTTACTCCTGATTGGCCGGCGGTTTCTTGGGATGACTCCTCTCCTGAAAACTCTGGATGCCAAGATGTCGAGGTTTATTTGAAGAAACACAAGCAGAGCTGAACACTCTGAAACTTTGTTTCACCAGAGAATCTGGATTCAGCCTATTCAAGATGTCTGATCAATCTTTGTGGTTTCAATAAATGCTTCGGTTTGCAATGTAAAACATTGTACAGTTGTTTATATAAAAATGAAACTCTTCAAGATTCAGATTTTTCATATCTCAGATGTGTGTTTAAACATTCAATACCTTCTTATAAACTCCTTTTCCATGTTGTTTTTCAACCTATTTTGTTCAGGAAAGCTCAATGCTTACTATACCCTTACAATTAATTATTATGGTAATTGTTATGGCCTCCTTGTAGATAATTGCCTGTAGATTAAGTTAATTGTAATCAGTGCAGCTGATTTGACTTTTCAATGAAACTATTTTGTAATATAAGCAGATTATTACTATTTTAAGACAATGAATTCGCTTTTTATATAATCTTTACATGCTCTATATTATCTATGAGATTATACAATATGCAGAAGTGTGTAATAAGGAAAAGTTGCGTCACAGCTTTAGTTGTTAAAAAAATGGAGGACAAGAGGATGTGGATATTATTAAGTCCAAAAGAGGGCAGCAGTGAGTAAATATAGGAAATAACAGAAACCAGTAGGATTGGTAGAATATTTCAACCATGTCAAGACAAGACAGAAATACTTTACAACATAAACATTAATAATTCAAGGCCAGTATACAAAAACATTCATCAGTGTTCTTCCAATAAAGCACCATTAAACAATTACTGTTGTAAAAGTTGTGTAGTTTACATAAAATATCAGAGATGAATCCATATATCCTAATTTAAATGTATGAACAACAGGTTGGCACCATAGTCATATAAATAAGATTTTCAATTTAGCAAATACTTTTTTAAAAACTGCACACATAGAGGTAATAAAATAAAAAGTAGTAAAAAAAATTAAATCAGTGCAATAACCAGATGCATCTGTGTTAGTTCAGGAAACATTATTTGTGTTTTCGTTGTTATTGATCTCCATCCTGCTGATCAGTTCAGTCACCAGCTGCTGCACGGTTTGAGAGCGCAACCGGCCGACTTCCAGGACGCCCTCGTGGTTCACGCTTTCAGAGTCCTCATAGCTCTTTACCACCTGCCATGGAGACCAATTAATCAATTAATCAGTCATCCAAGCAAAGATCCAGATAACTAACCATTCCTTAAGTTACTACATTCTTTATTAGTTACCAAGTTATGAAATAAAGCTGAAAAATAAGAGTTGTGATTGTTTACTATCAGTATTTGTGATTGTTGTCATACCTTATTTGTGATCAGAGAAAGTCCAAAGACTCTTAGACCACAGTGAGTTGCCACGACGACCTCAGGTGCTGTACTCATACCTGAAATAACAATACAGTACAGGGGTAGTTTAGAACAGTGATATGAATAAATAGAAAATCTAAAACATCCCACTTCCTATTCACCCTCTACTTCAATTAGCCTCATGAACTCATTTTGTTCATTCCTGCCTATTCATAGTTTCTTTCAGTCACAACAAATACTGCTGCCCAAATACTGTCATTTGCTGATGTCTGTTGTAACCCTGTACACCAATCGTTTTACAAAGTATATTCTATAAGGAGATTCTGCTTGAAAATATGTTCATTTGCTTTTGATTAAAATGCAAGCAATCAATTAGTCTACTTGTTAGCAAACAGAGTAGTTTTTTATTTTATTTTTAAAATTAAGTTCTCCTAGCAAACTATGCCTTCATTTTAGTCTACAACCAAACATCTAAACAACCTTTATGGGAAAAAAAAATCGATTCAGATATGTAGATCTGTCAATTCAGATCACATACCAACTTTAACTTTTGTACATAGGTGTCAACTTTCTATTGACTGAACATGAAAAAAAAGAATAGAATAAAACAATTAGAAAATCTTCTATCTGGGCCAAACTAAGTGAAAATGTTCCTCCTGGTGCATTGAAGCGTTCATCAAAAACTGCAGCTGCACAACACATTAAATCAGATTTTACAGTGAGCATTATGCATTAAAAATACATTGGTTGGGGAAAAATATTTTCAACTGTGAATGGATTTTTAAATAAAGCTCCTGCAACTTTTTCCTCAGCCATGCAACTGAAAATTTTCTTTCAGTAGAGACTCAAAAGAACCCTTTGCTCTTATCCTTCACAACAGGAATAAATTGGATGTACAATCTCTGTGTGCATGAGCACAAAAATGTAGAATTGGAGCTAAGAATGAGGAGGAATGGTCATAATGAGACTGTGCACATTTCTAGTGTCTTAGTGCATCATACCGACTGCGTCCACTCCCAGTCGATGCAGCAGTTTGGCCTCAGCGATGGTTTCAAAGTTGGGTCCACCCACCATGGCATATACACCTTCCTGCACAAGGCTAGAGACACCCATCTGCTTGGCAAGCTCCATCACGAGGCTACGCAGCCCTTTGTCATAGCAACCTGACATAGCTGGAAAGCGTGGCCCAAACCTGCAACAAAAATTTATTGGCATCATTGACATGTAAAGGAAAACTTTTATTCACCACTGTGAGGACAGTAAAATATCACCACAAGAATCATGCAGAAATGAAATTACTTTTCATCGTTGGGCCCACACAGTGGGTTCAGACCGACCAGCCCAGGGAAGTTGATGTGGTCCTTGATTATCATGATGTCACCAGGACGTAGGCCATCAGCCAACGAGCCTGCAGCATTTGTCACTATAAGTGTCTCCACTCCCATCAGCTTGAAGACTCGAATGGGAAAGGTCGTCTGATGGAAAGACAGACATGTATTTCTATTTTAGCTATGCTTACTTGGATAGTATGTTACCAAGTGCAAAGATTGGCAGCCATTTGAACATGTTGTACATTGGGAAGCTTTGGGCATGTAAGAAATTTGGTGAGACCATTGACTGTTCAGGATGAAGACACAAGTCTGTTGCCTCTTTTCTTTTTTTGCATTCCTAAGTGAGTTGCTTTTTCTGTAAACAACTAAACCTTTTTTTTTTTTTTTTTTTTACTTTTTTGTTCTCTTCAAAAAGCATTTTGCATGCAGAGGATAAAGTTTGTCTCCTGTGACCAGAAGATCTTATTTCACATGTTTGCTGTGTCCCCTACATAGCTTGAGCAAACCACTAGTGAAATGAATGCTAATTATTAAAAAGATGAGTTTTACAGTGGTTTCTATTGAGTGGTTTTACAGTAAAGGTAGTTAAATATATGCAAGCTGCATATTAATTCTTTAGTTATTTGCCATAAATTATATATATGCATTGTTATTAATTTTATTTATTGTGAGCATGCCTGTTTTTTGCACAAATTAACTTTCCACAGTTTTGTTATGGTTTGTCAGGTGATGTAGGATTTTCACTTAGGAAGATAAAACTCTAAGGGTCGGTCTCCTGATAGTCACACAACCTTGTTTCATAGCTAACATTTAAGCATATAAAGGGTATTTTTAGTGAAAGTTTTTATTTTGAATCTGTTTTTTTTTTTTTGGGAGGGGGGGGGGGATTCTTTGCAAAGGGCATTTCACAGGACGCCACCTAAAGGAGAGTCAGGCAGTCTCAGTGTAACACACAGCAGTGACACACAGCAGAGAGCACGTTTGTCTGAATGGGTGTTCTACAGAAGGAAACAAAGGCAGCATTGAACAGTTGACTAAAAGGCTGCATGTGACCAAACCCAAGCATGACAATGTCTCACACACACACACACACACATCCAAGAGACTACAGGTTAGCTTGCAGCATGCTGGTTATTATGTAAACTTTGCCCAGGGTTGCTGGACTGAGATATTTTTTAGCCAACCACTTATGTGAGAATGTTGTAGTTTTGTGGTGGATGTGGATATAGTTGTGAAGACATGTTCTATTTAATCCATGTTTATGTGATGTGTTGTTTTGTCTGTGTATAAATGTATGTTATTAACTCTGCGTGTTCATGGACAGATATGTCTTTAGGCTTAGTATTATACTTTGTATTTTCTTACAGTTTGATTTTCTACCAACTTCCTCACACATTTATTCAAATTCCATATGGAAACACACACATGGATGAGTTAGGTTTTCCAAAGCCAAAATCACAAGACACATCCAAGTTTATGCTCACTGGTTGTTTAGATATTTAAGTCTCTGATTTATTCTGTCATTGTATTTTTGTTTTTGCTTAAGCGTAGATGTAACTTTTGTTGTTTTTGTGCATCCTATCAACAAGTTTGACTTTTGGAATAACTATTAGTACACTTGAAATATCTGTGTGAATACCTTAAGGAGTGAATGTCCCTCGTACATGTGGAAGCGGCCCTGCATGCAAACACATGACTTCCCCTTCAATTCCCCAAAAACCAGCCGACCTGCGTGACCTTGTACTGTAACAAAAATAAACATAGTGAGAACATTCATTTTCTTGCTTTCATTGTGCATGTTCACAGAATACAATTGCTTATAATGACAGTTACACATCAGAGACATTTCTGACTATAATTTTGCAGGGCTGATGGATAACCAAATTTAGTCTAATGAACAACAACATACTGATCAATACCTAAAAATTAAAATAAGGCATAAATTGAGCAATTAGTTATAATTTTCATACTTCAATTTGAGCTTCAGTTACTTAAATATATGAATAAAAAGAAGCTGAAAACATTTTTTGCAATATTCTTCTTATTAAATATCTGTTTAAAGGCCTTATGATCTTATGAACAAATGAAAATATAAAGTTTTGCTATGCTGTTGTGTTAATGTACAATATTAGTGACATGAATCTATTTGTAAAAATATCAGTATTTTTTAAAGATATCAATTCATAAAAGCATGCACTCATAAATTACCTGTGCTCTGAGGAAACCCTGGTATGTCAGAGTAATCAAAGGAGTCTTGACATTTAAGGGTATCAGCAAGCATGCCCAGTCCAGAGCCGCAAATAATTGCCACGATGGGACGATGCTTTGTATGAGACATCAGCCAATCAGAAGTCTTCTGATATTCATCGTGACTGCAGGAAAATAAACAGCGCAATATCACTCACAAAAATGTAATATTCTTAGTTGTGATGTTATGACCCTAGAAGCATCTTCATGATTGCATAGAAGCAACTAAACTAAAAAGACCTCTAATGTTAGTACATTAGCACTTTTCATGTGTTAAAACAACATACATTTCTTTAAATATCTGAAAATGGCACACTGTTGACAATATTATTAACATTTTCAAGCTATTTAACAACAATTTCACATTACAAAACTTTACCGAGCATCAGAAATGATGTTAAAACCTTTTCCCTTACCCGATCTGTTCTTTGCTGTGCATGATGAATGAAGGATGATGACCGGTACTACTTCCAGATGTGTGTGTGCGTGTGTGTGTGTTTGTGTGACAGATGAGGAGAGTGTGGTCAGCGGATGCTGATCAGCTTACATATTTACTGGTCACATGCGTCTGATTGGTTCAGAACTTGCTCATTCATCAGGAGCAGCCAATAGCGTTACAGTTGGAGTAAAATAGCAATTGTGTGGATTCCTCACATTTTTTTTTTTTTTTTTTGGTTGTGCAACGAGCTTTTGGTTCACATAACTCCTAGGATTAGTGTGAGATTTTTTTCCCCCTGTTTCTCAACTGCTAGAGTACAAACTGGGAGCCTGTTAAGATAATTATTCAATCGTTTAATCAATCTATTATCTTGAGTGTGCTTCATTTTTTAAGTATGATGCTCCTGCTGTAGTGTAGATTTTGATATAGGTAATATGGTTTTCTTTTGGTCCAGAGCAGGATTTCCTTTGGGATGATGCATTCAGTGAAAATAATAAAAAAAAATTAATTGATCTGCCATTTGCTACATGAACAAGTTTTCTTTTGCTTTTCCAGTCAGTAAAAATGTTCACCCTTAGTAATGTACTCAATAGAGCTGATTAAGCTAATATATGACTTGAATCTTATGATTCTGGATCATATTTTACAGTCTGCAGAAACTTCTGAAAAGGTTATAAAAAGACCAAAATAAAAGAGTCAGTGTAGCAATATTTTGTTTGGTCAAAATATGTTTCCATATTCTCTACGCATAGTTTTTTTAATTCCAAATCCTAATGTCCAAAATGTAAAACAAATGTCATTTAGTTTAATTTCCTGAACGCTGTACTACCATGTACTATTTTTTTATTGTTTAAGTAAAACATAAATGCTATAAATCCAGACTCAAGAGGTCCAAGGTTGTGTCAGGCTAATGAGGAGCGGCTAGCAACTCATGATCGCTAATACACTTCACATGTTCCTCTGCTGCCACTCTGATCAGATGCTGCTAATAAGGCTCATGTGAGCTTGATGGATGCTGAACAGAGATGGACTCGAACCAGCGGACAGCATACAGAACCAGAAGGTTTATACAGTTTACTTGTAGCAATGTCACTTTTAGCAAACAAAACCACATTCAGGAGTGCTAAGTATCAAACTCATCAAACTGGTCTCTGGAATCATCTTTGTTTTAACTTTAAGGGATGAACACAAAACTGCATGTAAATGATGCTGCATGTAAACGTGCATAACAGAAGCCATATGGACTCTAGTTAGACGGTTAATGAAAAGAGGAATGTAGATAGTTAGACACTCAGACATGTTTTACCATATTAGTTTTACAATTATTTTCAAAGACATTTTAATCTTTGTAGCGACATGCATTGTAAAAGCCATTTAATTTAATTTACTTTATTTCATTGGGACAACACATATAAATCAACATGTCAGCAGTAAGCATCAATGTAAACATGTTAGAGCTAACACAACAGCTAATTTTCTAATTTTCATTTGTTGTCCTAAAGCAGTTAAGAACAAGGCGTGTCCCACGAAACAAAAAGCAGGGAATAATGGAAACATCACCACCTATGCAACACGTAACACAAACAACATGAAGAATAAAAATAAGAGCTGGTAAAAACCAAGATTCGATCTTCTAATAGAGAATAGTTGTCAGAATAAAAGGTAAGTCTATACTTTCCCTCAACTTTCCATAATTATGCATGCAGACATGACTCTGCAAGCAGGAACACTTCCATAGGTAGTTCTGTTGTCAAGGCTTTTTTAATAGCAGTAAAGAGCTGACTGCAAGTATACACTGCATACAACTGGGTTAACCTGTTGTGGCCACTGATTTGTGCTTCTCAGTGTTTAATGCTCTGCTGAATGCTCACCATTACTGCATACCTTCACTTGGGCAGAATGTCAGAAATGTGCTCTCGTTCATTTAAACGTCTTTTAGATATCTAGCATTCTTGGCCATATATGACATACAGACGTTACTTCTGTGTTTTTCATTGTAGCTATTTAAGCTCTGAGGCACAACAATGTTTTAAAAAGCTTATTGTTACATATGTTGTACTTTACACAAAAATAGTTCTTGTGAATATAAAGGAGTAACTTTCCTGACATTATTTATATATCATTAACTAACAAGGGGAGTAATGTGATGTAATAGATATTGATCAATGCAGGGTCTGTAAACCATTCATCTGACTGAAATGTCTCAAAAACTCCTGAATGATGTTTTATCATTGGGTAAAACTAGTTTTTTGCAACAGATTTAATGTATGAGAGGTATTGAGGGTTTTAAAGTGGAATGTCTCAACAAATCCACAACTAATAACCATAAAAATTGCATAAAGACACACATTTTTTTTATTTATCAAATGCCACCATCAGGGCAAGTCATGCATCTGTTTAAAGTTTTGATGTATAATCAAATAAAAAAAAACTCTCCCAAACCCATTCACCAATAAGTCATCTGCAATCTTGAAGTGAAACATAAACATCTCTTTATGTAGACTGCTGATTCATACATTTTACAGATTATGTGAAACCTCAAAAAAATTTTAAATTGGTCTCTTTTACAGTCATGCATCACTTTATGACAGTGAAATAAAACTTCAAACATGTAAAAAAAAACTAATGTGAAAAACTCCATGTTGACTTCCTTTACCATTGACGAAAGTGCTTTCTGAGGCATAAGTAAATTTGATATATGCAAACCAATGCACCCCCAAGTTTTAAATTATATCTGCCATCTGGATACTCTCCTTGTTTTTCAAAGAAATTAACTGACAGATATGGAGTCCATGGTGGTGTTTTTCCTATTTCAGATAAACTGTATTCATGTTGGAGTACAATAAGATCACGTTTTTCCTATCAAGAGTTCAAAGTTACTAGCATTGAGAGCATCATCAGGAAGAGAAATTGTATAATCTGGTGTTCACGAGTCTCCTCGTGTTTGGATTTCTGACAAGATTTTTTTTAACTCCCTACCACATTGTCAGTGATTTGATTTTGAAAATCCCTAAAATCACAAATAAATCCTTTGGAACAACATAAAAAAAATTAAAAGAACAAAAAAGAAAAAAAAAGAAAAGTTGGGTGGGAAAACTAATCAGGAACATATATGTCATCTTGTGAGGGTCATAAAGCAAGGTCACGCACAAAGCTCAGGTCTGGACACAATCATGTGAACCAAAATCTAGAGTTCATCCAAATGATCTCTCTGGTGAGTGTGTTCTAGGAAAGAAATCTAGTAATTAACACTAATCAGACACTAATCAGAGAGGTGCTGTAGACCCTGCGGTGATGGTTTGGTCACGGGAAGTTTAGAGAGACTTAGGAGCATTGAGTTCCTTCCTCCTGAACTGAATGGTTGTCCCATTTTCAAGTTGGTTTCTCTAGTCAACCAACTTGATTCTAATCTGGGGGAAAATATGAACCTCCTTTTGCAGGAGGTTCTCTCCATTATCATAACCATAACCAGTCTTGTGGATCACTTTGCTAGGGAAGTTTAGGTCTATAGGCCACATTTGACTGAGATTTGTCCAGTTGACTTGAAGTTGGCAGTGCACAGGTTTGTTTGTCCAGTTGACAGACCAGGCTTGAGCCACTGGTCTGTCAACCAGAAGCTGGTGTTTGACTGTTTGACTCCTCTGTTATTTTTACCAAAGCCTTTTTTGCCTTTCGTGTATTGATCCATGTGTCTCCTTATCTTGATCACTATGATGTCTGACAGGAGATTTCATTATAGGAATACAGGCTATTAACCAAAAGTCTGATGATTGTTCCCTTCTGGGAATCTTTCATTGTCAGGACTGTTCTGCCCTCAGTCAGCCATTCAAGGTGAGCTTCATTCCTCTGCAGATGGTTCGTTTGTGCTGCTGACAGGAAACTCCTGCAAAGAAGTCAGCTTCTTGAGCTATTATATGTGACCAGACGCTGCCATAGCATACATCTTAGCTGGTTCGGTGGTGAATAGCCAGTTTGTTTTGTTCATCTGACTTTTGTCTCCCTTATCTCTTACATTGGGTGGCTGTTTTACAGTTTCTACAGTCTCAGGTATGGCATCTGTTCATATTTCTTGGATCCCTTATTTTAAAGGTCCTTCACCTCTTGAAATACATAACAAAACAAAAATATCTGTACAAATGCTAATGGTTATTTGCTAATTTTTCAAGCTGCAGTACTGTGTTGTGTTTTAACATAACACAGTACTGTGAAGCGTTGTGAGCTGCCTAATAATTTCCACCACTCGTCTTGCCTAAAATACCACTCCTAAGGCCCTGCAGCTTCTTACAGATATTACATAGAAAGCCTTTTTGGTCAATGACTTGTGACTATCCTCCCAAAATCACAAGTCTGAATGCCTGCTGGCCTCTTTCAACTCCACCATTAATTTACAGTTTCAGACCAGAGCAGTCTCTTACTGACCTCCTCTGGAGTTAAACTGCATTTCACCTTCAGTTGTTACTGTAATGTTTAAAACCAAATTAGACACTGTATGTGATCTCAGTAGATGTAATCCTCCTTTGTATTATGCATTTGCAGCCAGGAGGTAAAGTTTTTTTTTTTAAGAGTAAACAAAGATAGATGAAAAGATTTGTCTTCACAGAAACATATTTAAGGTATGATTATGTAAAATGAAGAAAATGTAAGCTACATCATAAAACAAAAACAGATTTTTTTTCAGCATGACATTTTCTAATACGTCCCCAATCTGTGCAAGTTGTGAGGTGGATGGAACCTATCTTGGTGTCTAAACTGTCAATGGGCGAAGCACAAAGTACAACGAGCCTCAGGTCCATCACAGGACAGCAAATAAAACATGCATGCACAAACTGAAGCTCAGCAACAACTTAGAGAAGTCAATTCCCCTAATATGCTTGTTTATGAAATTGTGGGAGGAAGTTGAAGCACCCTGAGATAATTTACACATACACAGGAAGAACATGTGGTATTAATACTCTGAATATTTCAGGAACTGGTGATCTTATGTGGTTTACACATACACCCTCTCAGATTTTATTAATAATGTATGCTAGTATGAAATAAGAAGATGCACAACTGTTGTGTGGATAAAACATCCCTCCTACATGTCGAAACTATGTAGAAGACCATAATATGTGCTAATGCATCTTTGCAAATGTCATACAGAAGATTTCACTAAGTTCTAAGTGTTGCTCAGAACAGTTTACTGCAGACGAGTTTGCTGGGTTTGTCTCCCTCTGGTGGTTGAATGTGGCTCTTCATGCGTGTGAACAATCATGACACAGATGCCTTCTTATCAGCACCACATCAAACCTGATGAACAATAAACCAGCCAGGTGCTGACATCACAGCCGAGTCTGAGGTTGTGATGTCAAGGTGTTGCGACTCGGTTAACACTCTGTCTTATCTCTCTGCACTTCTTCAATGTTTGATTGTCAGAATCAGGAATTCTCCACTGATCCGTCAACACTTTGGCGATTGTGTGTGTCTTACATCATGCTGACATTCTTCACAGATCTCAATGGCACACACACACACACACACACACACACACACTCACACAGAAACACTTAGGAGCCAGCAGGTGTGAGATAACTGGGCTGGTTTAGAACAGAAACACTTTGCTGAAACATTCAGTGTGTTCAAAAGCGTCTCCTTGTTGGAGTCAGGTTTAAAGCTGTCTGAACACACTGCAAAGCTATTCAAAGCACTGCTTAATCAGGACCTCAGTTAGCAATTCTGTGTTGTTGAGTATAACTGACATCAGATTTAGCATGATCTGGTGACTTTAGCAAGATAAATTTAAATCTTAGCGTCATTGAACGAATTTAGGTGGGGTGAATTTACCATGAAATTAAAATGTTTTTTACTGCTGTATAGACGTGGATAGAAATGTTCAGAATACTAAGATCTCAGTATTCTTCGGATATACTTTAAGCCTTTTCATTTCTCATTGACGTTTTTAACTCCCTGAAGTTCTTTTTGCAAAAAGCTGCAATGCATCATTAAAAAAAAAAAAATTGTGAAATAAAGAGGAGAGGAAGTGATATATTTAGAAAAGTATTTCATTACTTATTCTGTATACACTTTTGAAAGTTCAAAGTGTATTAAAGTAAAAAAACTTCTGCAGTTGTTAATGCAACCATTTTAGATGTGACATCATGTCAGTATGAGGTCAACGCACACACAAGTCAACACTTCTGTAACTCTTCTGCAATCAGAGGCTGACTTCATCCTTCAAGCCTCAGTTCGTGTGTTCGCGTGTGTGTGTGCGTGTGTGTGTGTGTGTGTGCGTGCATGTGTGTGTGTTGGTCAGCGTTGCGTGTTGATTGCACCTCGTTACGGCAGAAAGCAGACGGATGGTGATGGAGGGAGTGTGTGTTTGTTTGTTTTGTTTGTTTCAGTCGGAGGCGGATGGGCAAATGTGTGTGTTTGTGTGCATGTGTGTGTGTGTGTCTGCATGTGCGTAGGATATTGCCTCAAGTTGCATTTGATGGTTGCACAGGAGAGCAACAAAACCATGGACACAGACTCACAAAGACACATTTTAACACAGCTAAGACATCAAAAAGATGAATGCTAACTGTTTTCATGATATTGACATATTGTTTTGGTTTGTAACACATCAAACTTTTGTTTTTGCTGTCATGACAATACACTTTACTGTTTAAAATTTTGACAGGTAAATCACTTCATTTACAACTCAGTTTTAGAGTTAAATTCACTTTATGAAAGAATTTTACTTAAAATAATTGAAAAATTGAAATGAAAAATGAGACATCCAGCTGTGTGTCAGTTGCAAAATATTAATCTTTTGTTTGTCAGAGGGAGGGACAAAATGAGTTCAAGCATTCTTGCATGAAAGGCACCCTGTGATGCCACTCCCGCCATGCGACACACAACCAGGCCTTTAGCCACACTCCCAAAGAAGAATTAAAGCATCAGTAAACATCGCCATCGTGGTGTAAAACAACTCTAATTTTTTTTTTTCTTTTGCCTTGTGGGCATGCAGCTATATTGCCCATATCATGGTTAAAAGTCAGTCAGTCTACTTTGGCTGCTTTTGTTATGTCAGGACACTATTACTAAAAACAGATATTGACTTTTACAAAATAAATCTAAATTCACTGATGTATGAATTATGGTAAGATTTGTTCTTAGCTTAGTGTTTTCATGCTGAATCAATTTGGCTTTAGACTTCCAAAACTCTGATTGTTAACTAAGTAACTAGTCCCTCATTTTCTAAAGCGACATTAAGGTAAAAATTTTTACTTTTGCATATGTGTGTCTATTTTATTGATTAAATACTTTAATGTCCCAGATGTTCTTTTACTTTTTCTTCAAAGAACTTTTTCTTTTGACTGTAAATATTTTTTCAACAATATCTGCAGATCTTATGAAATACTGGACATTTTTTTCCTTCAGTTGCATTTCAATGCAAAAGCCCCATTTGTGGCAAACTGTGATGTATTGCATACTCTTAATATTTGTCAATTAGACTTGTTGTCTAACAGAAACAATATTACATCTTCCTCAGGAATCTGAGGTACTTCAACTCATCTGTTAGATCAGATGAGCAAGGAGGGGATGCTGGTTCATCCCTTCCTTGAAATACTTTTGATAGATGCTCACCATCGCTGATCAAGAACAACACACAAGCGCTTTTGTTATTATATTAAGGCCACAATCTTCAGTTGCTTCCTAATCTAGCTCTTTATGTTGAACCTTGGCTGGACAAGTGACGCACTGATTGCTTCACTTTTAGCACTCGGGCAGTGTTTATTTTTTGTGCGGAAAAGTTCAAACCTGCTAAAATGATTGATTGTGTCACTTACTTGCGACATTTCACAGTTCAGATGTTTGAAGTAATCAGGTCAAGTCTGGAAGCCTGATTGCACTTACTGCTTGCAACTTTTATTAGGATATTTTCCAACTAACCTCGGATTTTCTTCCTTCTATCAGACTTGCACACAAATAACTCATAAAAGTCCCCCGCTAAATGTTATTTCAATCAAGTAAATTTTTTATAACCATGTATTGATAAATAAAACATGGGGAAACATCGCAAATGAAGACCTGCTTCCACGGCATTAAATCACTCTAAATAGAAATGAAATTATAATGAAACACACACAAAGTGAGTCTGCTTTAAAAATACATCCTCACCAGAGATTTACCGCAGCGGCTCTCTCGTGGAAACACCAGTGCCTTAATCTTGATCATTAAAATAAACATCAAGCCCCCGTCTTGGCTGTTATTCATCCAGCGATCATGTTTTACTTTGGTAAATGAGCGAGAGACCTGATGGTCCCATGGGAGGAAGAGTCAGACTAATTAGCTTCTGATGCAACACACCTGAGAAGCGCGTGAGACGCTTCACAGAGCTTCATTTGGTTGATTTAATGTCTCAGACGAACTTGACTGGAGCGCAGGCATTTTCTTTTATAACATGAAACTTAAACACGTTGTGTTTTAGGCTATGACACTGTATGTTCCCCTTCATGTTTGTCTTTACTTCTTAAAAACGTCACCTTATATATCACTTAACATGAAAGAAATTGGTAGATCTTCAACCTTTACTTAGTTTTCATTAAATGCTAATTTTTAAAAATGTGTTTGATTTGCTGAGAAAGCAGAATGCTGCAAAACTGTATATAGCGCTGACAGATTTGTCTGTTAGATGTAGTTAAGAGTGTATTAGATATAAATACGATGCAGTCTGATAGTATTTATCCTTACAGGTTATTTTATGTTAGATTTTCTTTCTCTATGAAATGCTTCAGATCATGAAAAAAAATTGATATCACAAAAAACAATCTGAAAGGAAAAAAAATTGTATTAACTCAGGTAAAGGATGTGAAAAAAAACAGTTGCTCCCTAAACTTCATAACTGGCTAAACTGTTGGTTGCGATAACTGGCAATGAACCTTTTAAATCACTGTGGAGGAATTTTGGTGAAATAGCTTTTGCAGAATTGTCTTAGCTCAGTCACATTGGACAGTCTTCTAAAAAACATCAGATTTAAGTTCTTAGTTTCATTTCTTTTAGCCATTCAGAGGTGGACTTGTTGGAGTCCTTAAAGTAATTATCCTCCTGCATAAGCCGGCTTGAGATTAAGAGCATGAACTGATGGTCAGACTTTTTCCTTCAGGATTTTCTTCTTCAATATATTTTTAAACCTCTGGTTTAAGTTTCTCTTCAATTCAGAGTTTCAGTGAAGCTTCAGAGCTAGATCTGAACATTTATAATTATGTTTTTCAGAGTATTATGTATTTTTACAGTATGCACCACAAGCTGTCACATTACTAAACAAAACAAAATATTTTATCCATTTGTAAAAAAGTTGAGTTTGTTTAACTTAAATTTTCCATCACAATTTAACTATTGATAAACTGATTCAAACTCTTATGCATTCCTATCTTTGGAAATATATTTGATTGGTGTCTCCATTAACAGAAAAGAGTCCAAACTGTCACATAAAGTTCATCTTAAAGTTCAGATTTCTCTGTGAAGCAGTTGAAAAAGCTATTTTCTCCGGTCACAAAGTCCAGGTCAAAGGTTGAATCTATCCTCTAACTACAAATATACACACGCACAGCAGTAATGTCACAAAGGATGGTGTATGGAGTCGTCATGCCGACAACAGACATTACTGCTGGTTTCATCACGAAGACAATCCCAGGCTGGCCTCAGTGTGTGTGTTTATAGCTAACCCTCTTTTTTCCCTTTTCTCTCTCTCTCTCTCTGTGTATCTCTCTCTTTCTCTCACACACACACACACAGACACACACACACAGTATTTAGTTGTCTTCTTATCTCAGTTTTACATCATCCCTGGTGACCTCTGAGTGTATGTGTGTGTGTGTGTGTGTGTGTGCATGTTCCAGGGACAGGCCGGGACAAGTTCAGGTTTATTGCAACAGGGAAAAAAAATGTAATAAGTTTTGTGCTCTGATGTTCTGTAACAACAAACAATGACAGATAGCAATGGTACAGTATCTGTATGCACTGACTGCCTCCTTTCATTATAATCTGGGCTTTTCTGATTTGCTTTGTCAAGCAGCCAATTGCTAAGCAGCCAAGTGCTGTGTAGTCGGGAACATTTTACTAGAACAAATAAAAGCCTTTTACAAACAGAAGGCTGCAGGAGGAGTCAATATTATGAGACGCTAAAATCTGAAGCAGGTCCCTTAATCTTTTTCTAATGTGTCATAAAGTTTAGATTTGAAAATGTATCTAAAGCTAGAATAAATATTACTCTTTTTAATGTATGCAATCACCACACAGCAATCTCTTTATTGTTGTGTTTGAATTTTACTTTTTAACAGAAGGGATTCAAACTCTTCTCTGGCCCAATAGATATATTTAGAGACTCAGGAATTAGTCCTTTCAGTTTGAGAGCTGCATCTAATCTCTGATGCTTTCACAATCCACAAATTGAGAAAACATGAAACAGTTTTAGTCATTCAACTAAGATTACTGCAAGAACCCATCATCAACAGGTAAAGTCAGACTTCATGATTCAGCTACAGCAAAGAGGCTTGGCACAAATCCAGGCATCCAGGGGAGAGTTTCATGTAAATAAAAAAAAACAACATACAAAATAAAAAAACTAAAAGACTCGCAGCTGACTAATAAGAAAATATTTGCAAACACTTACAAAAGCAGTGTAGATTCCAATTGGTCATTACTGTTTAAACTTTACCTTTAATAACATAAAGTTACCTAATTTTTAAAGTGCAATCAGTAATACTTTTATAACAAATTCATATCAGTAATGATTTCCTGGTTAATGTCAAGTTGTCATAACAAAGACATTTTGAATAATGTCAACTTTGTATTAAAAGTGTCATAATTTACCGAATGACGCTTTATGACAACAGTCATAAATATTCATGAAGGCTTATTCATGTTCATGACATGTGTTTATGACAGTGTCATGTAAGTCTTATTCACCCCCCTTCAAATAAAGTGTTACCACATTTTCCTATCATGTGACTTAATAAAAGGAGATAAACTCTGGGAAAGTTCACCTGCATGAATGCTTCACCTCTGGAATATGAGCAAAGTTGTCAAACATAATCAGCACTTAGCTCAGACCACAGAGTGAGCGAGCCCAGGCGCAGAACATGCTCAAGGGTGTTTCATCGTTTACCCACCTCGGGGCTTTAACAGTTTCTTAAACTCCCACTGTTAGCCAAACTTTAAACTGAGCATTTCCCCGAGGCTCAACGGATCAGGATGCCCTGAGGCGAAACACAGAGAGGAGCAGAAAGAGACCACCAGAACAGACTCGGAACAAGACAGCAGGTGGATGCACAGGAAGCTCAACGCTGTACCAAGCGCACACACACACACACACACACACACACACACAAACATACACAGGGTGACAGACTGCAGACTCAGGTGAAGATCAAAACGTCCCCGTGTCAGCAGCACAGGTGCAAAGCAGGTGATAACCCTGACAAGGAGGGCAGCACGTGTAAGAAGATTGTGAACAAATATGTGTGTTCTGAGTGTGTGTGCACACGAAGCGAGTGTTGCTCCCAGTAAGTGTGTGTTCCCGTGGCAGGCCGTAGTTGAGTCAGACACTTGGCCTCTGATTTCATCACATCGGTTATGAAAGAGACAGTAAAGTTTAACAAGCACACATGCATGCACGCACTGTGTTCCTCCTACTCTATTTCTTCAATATTTCATCATGTGGCGTAAAAACACGCTAACCATGTGGAGATAACCTGCTGCAATAGTGTGTGTGTAGTGCGAGTGTGTAACCAGGTCAGAAAAGCTCCTCGCTTGTCGCATCAAATCAGCAGAGCTGGTCTCACACACACGCAGTCACAGATGTAGAGGCCAGAGGTCAGGACGCGCGCACAGGAAATCTGCATAATGAAGATGTGACCGTGTTACCTGTGGAGGAGCAGATGTCTGTCTGCGGCTCCTGCTGGGATTAAAGGACAAGTTCACCTACATGTGCATCCGCGCACGTGTGATCGGCTCATGCTGGCTGCAAAATGAGCACAAGTTGCGTTAAAAAAGTACATTTCAATACTTTCACATTAGCAGTAAAAATAGATCAAACAAAGAAGGCTCTCTTCTTGATGCTCCATGTAGGCACAGTGTGTCATGACATTTTCCACGGTTCCTTTAATGCGATTTGCTGAAACAAACAAGAACAATAACACGCTTACACCTCAGGTTTGACTCAGTCAAGGAGCAAATTGTCAGACGTTATGCGGTTTATTCTGTGTAGAGCAACACTATACATCTGAAATGAGAACACCCCTGTGCAATACCACTTTAATGTCACACAATTCAACATTGCATCACCTTCAAATGTATGTAATTCTTTTAAGTTGAACAGTGGGGCATCAGCTCTCATAAAAAAATAAAACAGCTTTAATTTACCATATTTCTCTCTGTAGGAGCTCCTAGAGGAAAGTTCAGAACTTCTTTCTGTACCGATGTTTGACTCGTACTTTTCGCAGAAGGAAGAAGGATTGCATAAATCTCTAGATGTTTTGCCCATCGCGAGGTGCTCTTTCTGTTGATATTTTGGAGCTGTGTGCTTGTTTCTTTTTTTTTTTTTTTTTTGCTTTGTTTTTGCTTTCAGCGCTAGGATCTTTTTTGAAGTTGCCTAAAAAAAAGAGAAAAAAAGATGTTGACGCTTCAAGCATTTACAAAAAATAAAAAATAAAATAAATACAAATCTATGAACTCCTAAATTTTGCAACATGGAAAATTGCAGCCTGGTAACTGAAAAAAAAAACTAAACACCAACATTAACTTGTCTAATCTGTGCAAAAGATTGCAACAAACAGAAAAAAACACTTTAATGTAGCCAAAATCATGAAGGTTAAATGCCATTCATGAGTATCATTGATCATATACTCTCTTGATGCATGGTCAACTGTTTTATGCATTCTTATTTTTTTATTGTGTTTTTACAGAACAAATCCTTAAAACTACAAAGATTACAGTTTGCTTTATTGGACTGCTGCTTGGCAGCAGCGTATTAACTTCACTCCATTGATCCTGTTGGATATTTTGGATTTTATGATTTAAAAATGTTTTAAAAAGTCCCACAAGTACAAAACTGACACAAGATAAAATGTTTGACTCTGCTTATTTCCATGCCGGCTGGGAGATTAATTACCCAAGAGTTTGCATTTTCATTGCACGCTTTTGAAAGACTGGCTTTAAAAAAATGGCTATTTACTCTTTATGGCAGAACAGCAGCATTATTCCAGTGCATCTCAATTAATCAAAATACAACTGAATTGTTCATTTATCTTTGTGATTCAATTTAAAAAGAGAAGC